CTGTAAAATTGTTGTAGTGAAAATATGCAGTCTCATTTAAAAAAAAAACATGATGACCTTGAAATCTCGAAAAAGATGATCTTGAGAAAAAAATTCGGCTAATCACCATATTGATGCCTTCGAATAGAATATTTTCTCCCTCTAACATTTTTTTCTATCTGTTTTTTCTATCTATATTAATATAATATTATATATTAGTAATATGTTTATTATTAAATTACTTTTAGTACAATAATATTGAAATAATATAATAATATTGTACGTATAATTCTTTTGCTTTTTTATACCTGCAAATCCGTAGTACAATCTTCAAAAGCTTTATTTTTGTGCGTAGGTACGATTTCTAACGCCCACAGCAATTGTGTATATCGAAATACAACGAGGCCACCGATAAGTTCTGCCCATATTAAAAGAAAAGCGATGCGTAAAGATTTCTTTCCTTCTACAGCTTCTTCGAGATGTGTATAAGGACAAGCACTGGCATCGCCCCAATTCAAACTCCACCAAATCGTTAATACGAATAAATATATCGCATACATGGATACTCCCCAATTATCAGCAACTATAATGAGAATTTATTTTTACCGTTCGTGTGTATTTCCGATTGTCATAAATCGAACTGTAACCAAATTTTTGTTTTGTATATATATACTTACTTATAATCAGTTCAAAACAAGCACCGCATAATTCAGCTGTTGCTATTCCTTCGAGAAATAAAGATTGTATTAAAGGTTCTTTTATATAATAAGCGACATATCTTCTCATCCAATATGCGATTAAACTCGTTAATAAAATGTAACAAGTAGATACAGCCAAAGCAATGATATTCGGAATCATTATGAAAAATTATTTAAAAGAATAAAATATAAAGAAGTGTAAGAAGATCTACAAAATATAATCAATAATTAAATATTTCAGAGTGTTGAATTGGATTATAAGACCGATATTTACGCATATTTAAATGATACAGTTATTAACACGTTGACCGCTTTGCATAAATAAATATATTTATCTCTATTATACATATTTCTTCATTAACATTTATTTTTTCAAAAAGAAAAATATCTATACTTTTTTTATTGCAATAAAATTTGCCAACAATTTTTATTATTACAGAACATTCTACGTGTTAATGTAAAAAAGAAAAAAATTAATCAAATTTGCATACTTTTTACAAGGAAGAATTCTGTATGAGTTTTTATTTCCGTTTAAATATGTTGTATGATTACAAATGACTATGTTACGAAGAAGAATTCAAAAGAAATAAAATTCATTAAAAATAACTCATTAAATATAAATTAAGACGCGATTCGTCAGTTGGTTTTAAAAAGTATCAAATAAAAACTTTGTTATAAACTTTTTCATTTACTTTTCGTTTTGTTCCGTGTCTTGTAACAATTCTATTAGGTTTAATATTCTAGAATACATACAACGTTAAGGGAATTATTGCATTATGCAATACATGTCGCGTTTAGCTTCGAGTAACGGTTTCAAGTTTCTCTGTATCTGGCTTCCAGATGAGACGACAATCAAACAATATGTATTTAAACTCGCACGACGATTGTCACCAATAAGTATCACTACGCGTCACTGATCGATGTAAATCTCATTGATTTGGATCACTATTTTTTGATATCTTTTATTCTACTCGTATCTTTCCCGATATTCATAGACTGCACAGAGAAAGATTTAACTCGGACAAGCTATTTAAGCTAGCAAGTGAACATATACATCAACCATATATGCATACATACAAAGCAACTTTAAATAGCTGTTAGATGCCCGAATTACTTGATTATAAAACAGTGTAGCATTTTAACATCTATTCAGATTGATTTGAACAAGCATATTCTCTGCTTATTTCATATAAATTATTTCTATAATATTTTTATTTTTATTTTTTGCAGTGTTAATTAAGTATATCTCCTGATATACCAAACATTTTAAATAATATTTTGCGAATTAACTATTTTTCGGCATTGTGCCATGTTTATTATTCAGAATTGTATAAAAAATTAATTATGAAAAAGATTGCTGGGTTTCATTTTAAAAATATTTACAATTTAGAAATCTTAGAAAAAAATTATTCGGAAAAAAATGCTTTTTTTTTCCTAATTTTAGATATATTTATGATAATAATAACATAGTTGTTTAAAACACTCAGTAACAAATATATATATATATATATATGTTACCGGCAATGTATGAAAGGTCGGCATTCTATATAATACCTAGACATTGTATATAATGCTCAGCGTTCTTAGGTAATGTATGAAAAAAGATCCTAATAAAACTATTATATAAATGACGTGTGTGTGTGTGTGTGTGTGCATTCCTCAAAAATACAAATGTTATTCTGGAAAAATAAATATTAAATATATAATATAAATATAATAATATAAAATTACTATTATATATATATGATAATAATAAGATAATAATAATAATAATTTATAATAATAATAAATAAATATATATATAATATTAATACTTAAATAAGTGGTTCCCAAACTTTTCTGTCCTACCGCCCCCTTTCCAAAAAAAATATTACTTAGCGCCCCCTGTAAATTTTTTTTTTAATTTTACAATTTATATATATATATAATAGAAAATATATATGTATTAATGTTTCTACTGCCCCCCTGAATCGCTGCAGCACCCACCAGGGGGCGGCGGCGCCCACTTTAGAATAGGGACCCTGTAGGAGGGACGCGCCAAGGAATTTTGGGGGACAGGAACTTATGTAGTCACGTGTTACGCGCGAATGAGTTAAACATTTTAAATAGTATAAAAGTTGTATATACATAGTAATAGTGAATAGTGTAGGGGATAGAGTGGTGAATTGGTTTGAAAAAATTATGAAATAATGAATTGCAGCAAATACAGAAAAAAAATGAACCATATTTAATGATAATTAACAAATTTATATTAAAATAGAATAGGTTACACAAAAAAATTATTATAAATTCAAAAAGAAAGATTCAATTAAGTTTGATTTGATAAAAGGCATTACAGTATTTTGAAATTTCAAAACAACTTGTAGGAATTTATACAATTTTGATAAATACAATTATCTACTATATGTATTATATTTACAATTATTTTAATCATTCGCACAATTTGTTTTTAATTTCCAATATTAATAAATCAGCTAGGATTCCTGGGTATTATATCTTCATAACTAACCACAGCCGTTATTTATACATACTAAAGATAAACATGGCTGCTCATTGCATCGGAAGCAGTCCCCCAAAATTTTCAGCCAATAGCAACCCCAGCAATATGTAAGGCGCGTCCCTCCTACAGGGTCTCTACTTTAGAAATCACTAATGTAAATAATAAAAAATAAAAATACTAATGTTATTCTGAAAAAATAATAAGAGACGTGATATTTGAAACGAATCGGAGATGTATTTCATACTTTGTCGGTTTTTTATTTGACATTCTATAGAATGATTGGAAATGTGTGAAATATGAATAAATTTCATATACTGCCAGTTAGTATTAACACTTAGCCGACCAAACACCCCACAGAGACCTCTACAGTTTCCACCACGCTCGGGAAAGCCAAACTGCGCTCTCCACCGCGCATTTTTCTGAAGTAGTATTTTAGAAATTAATTTTATGGCTGGCAAAGACTCCATCGGAAATTCCGAAAATAAAGAGCCGTAATAATGAGCAATAAAAGATTTCAAAAATTGATGCATTTTATTATATGTTGTATCCTATATAAATAAGCTCTATAGAGAAAGAAGCGTTCCTCAGATGAAAAGGGTAGATCTACCCGAGCGGTCGGCAACCGACTAGCTTGAAAAAAGGTAGATCTACCCGAGCGGTCGGCTAAGTGTTAAGCATTATATACAATGACTAGCCATTCTATAAAATGCTGAATTTCATACTTTGCCGATATATATATCTATAAAATTCTTAACACTAGATTTACGGATGTTTTTTTGTATATGTGTACCTATCTCTACGAGCATCCGTCAATTTGACGAGTTTCGTGAAGATAGATATACCACATACAGATTTTTAAAAAATTAGGAAAGAAAGAAAAATTGTAAGTATAAATTCTCTCGGTGAAATAATTAATTTACGATACAAAGTGGTTAAAATAGATACTACAATTTTTTTGGATATTTTCTTCCAAAGTTTAAAATCCGTCAAATTGACGAATCCCGTAAATCTAATGTTAAGATTAAAAAGTAGAGGATGATGAAATATTTATTTTAAGGAAAACTAAATGAAAAAAAGTAATTTATGAAATTGTAAAATTATGAAGAAAATTATTTAATTAATAATATCCATATTTTTATAAGTTTATGATAATCGTATTAAACGTTGATATTTCTTATAGGTTTGGGCTTTAGTTTTATTCTTCTTATGAATTATTAACTACATACTTTGTTACATAGGTAAATGATTTCATGTGTTTTTATGAACGTGGAAACTAAAATACTTTTATCGTTATAAAAAAGAAAATAACATTTATTTACAAGATTTAAAAAGATTCTCCTTTATGCTTTTTAGCGGCCTGAGAATTATCTTGAGCGTCTGTTCTTACCATTAACCTAGGAATCCGTTTAGATTTTAAATAGGATATTATTTCATTCGGTGATCTAGAATAAAATGAAATCAAGTGTTCAATATTAATAATTATTAAATTACTATTATATTTATAAATGTAAAACTATTTCCGATATCAATTAATTATTTCAAAACTAACAGATTTTTATACCAAAAAATAAATATGTGAAATGTATAATCTGGTATATACCTTGCTGCATGAATTTTTGTATCAATCAACATTTCCGTTGAATTATCAGTCGAGCTAGTAGAACTTGTACATGGTGAAAAAGGAATGATCTGATAAGTAGTTTTGCTTACTACCTCATTACTACTTGATTCTGGACTTTCTGTTTGACCTGGCACTGTGCTATTAACTGCGCGAGAGTTCGTTTCTGTCTCTGATATAGGCTTTTTCTTAATGTCTAATTCAGTTTTAACAGGTTTTATTTCAAGGTGATTTTCCGGTTTTGGCTTTAATTTTCCATCTTGCGTAGGAAAGTTTACAACCGGCAATGCAATATTTTTACTTCCTCTTGTAGCATTCATTAACTTAATTAATAACTTTGATATCTCTTCACGTTTTCTTGTAACAACTATTTCTTCAAACCAATTTTTTAAAGTTTTTATCGGTAATGTATAGTTTGTAATAGGATCCTGAAATAAATCATTTTTTATTTAATTAATTACAATATAAATATATGCATAAAAAGTGTGGTTATTAAATTACCTTAAAGAAGCTCTCCACGTATTGTAATACATATAGGCCGCAATCAGTAAAATTAGATTGTTGAGGAACTTTCGGAGATGCTCCTTTAATAGTATCTTTCGAAAATGTTTTTTCAATTCCCATTTTTGCGACATATTCGCAACTCAAATAATCTCGTAATGTGGCGACAACGCGACATCTACTTGCACCCGCAAGAGAGTCAAATATTAATATGCAGGGACTGAAAAAGAAATAAAAATATTTTCTCAGTATTATTTCTAGTTCTTATGTTTGGGTTAAAAAATGTATAACCAAATTTATTTTATTATTATACTTACACTTTCACAGTATCTATATTTTGTAAGCCGCAATCTGTTTCTTGAGTTTTATTACTTTCTTGTCCCTCAGTTTCTTCCTAAAATAAACAAAAAATTTGTAATTTCGATATATAGGATCTTTCGTCTAACTATAGACCACCTTAAATATATCGCTTATTTCGTAGGATAGAAAAAAATGTTAGAGGGAGAAAATATTCTATTCGAAGGCATCAATACAGTGATTAGCCAAATTTTTTTCTCAAGATCATCTTTTTCGAGATTTCAAGGTAATATAAAAAAACAAATCCAATGATATGCGATACGTTGACCTTCAAGTGAACTTTATCGAGAAAATTGTGAAATGTCTCTTGTACAAGAGAAGATTTATTGCTTGTATGAGTGTCTTACACGTTGATTTGCATTTGTTTTTTCATTTACCGATCTCTGAGCGCATACTGAAGTTACTAACGAAGATCTCACAATTTTCTTAGTAAAGATCACTTAAAGGTCAACATATTTCACCTCGTTGGATTCGTTTTTGTATAAGTTATAAGACTGTGTAGTGAAAATATGCACCTTATTTAAAAAATTCGATGACCTTGGGGGAAAAATATGGCCCATCACTGTAATGGCACTTTTGAACAGAATATTTTCTCCTTCTGTCATTTTTTTCTATCGTACGAAATAAGCGATATATTTAACCCTTTCGCTGCGGAGTGCTCAGAAAAGAATTGCTCTCTCCGCAGCTAACGCGTCAAAGACAAATAAATTAATTGCCATTATTTTAGTTATTAATAGCAAAAAATGAAAAACAAATGCACGGCGCCTATATATATATATATATATATATATATATATATATATATATATATATATATATTAATAGGGATACACAATGTATCCTTAAATGTTATCTACAATAGTTCAAAAAATAATTTAATGTGACATACATCATCATCACTATCTATTTCCATTTCTTCATCATCTCCTTCTGCTTCATCTCTTTCCGAACCATCGTCTCCTTGATCAATTGTTATAGTAGTTGTAACTGGCGTAATCGTAGTAGTACCAATTGTCACAGCTTGAATTTTAAGATCCTTTAATTTTTTACTTTTCTGAATTGTTTTATGCACATCTTCTTTAGGAATTTTATTATTTATAGTAACTTTACCCACCAAACCAGGGAAACAAATAATTGCCAAAAACCAATGAGCACTGTAAATATAAATGTTATAAATATTATTATTATGAATATATGTACTTAAAATATATTAACACATTGCGTACGAGTGACGAGTATCTCGTTTTCATGCTTTTGTTTTTCTGGAACGCCCAAAAATGTGTGGGTCCTGGAAGCGCGTTAAGCAAGCCGAGTGCCGTACGTAATGTGTTAATAAATTTAACATATACGTTTACTTACTGTTCATTGATAGGAATCACGATAAAATCTTTTTCAAATATATTGACATTTTTGGTCCATTTTTGCACTCTCGCATGCCTTTTAGCAGCCGCAGAAAGGACCACTGCATTTTCACCAGCTTGAGCGTGAGGACTTGTTAAACGTTTATAAAAGTATGAACTGAATACATGTGTTCTATGTTGATCTGATTCTGATAAGACTTCTAATGTTAAATATTTTAAATAAAAATCTATAATAACATCATTTAAAAATTGATCTTCTCCGAGACATAAATAATCTTCGGTATTTATGGTTATACCACCTTTTGCAGGGGGTGGTGGGTAGACTGTTATCCTATAAAATAAAGTAAATTTGAAATATATACAATTTTTATTTTGTTGCTTTATAATTTTAGTTGTAAACAAAAAATTGACAAAATACAAATTATTTCGAAATATCAAAGCTACTTACTGTAAATTAATAATATATGTAATGAAACCATATATATTATTTTAATTAAAATGAAATATTTTCTTACTTTTGTATTCCACTGCTTGCACTCGATACATTCGAGACCGATGTTTGACTATATCTTCTAGTAAGACCTGAAGTAAGCGTATTCTGTAAGAAAAATAAAATTGAATAAATATTAAAAACTGAGAGAAATATAAATTTTGTAGAGTTATATACACGATTTATTTTATTTAATGAGATATACTTAGTAATATATATAAAATGATATGACGTACATCTTTTGGCGATGCTCGTACAAGAATATCATTGGCTTCTTTTGGATTCAATTCTTCAAACAGGCCTTTTCTTACCATGAATAAATTTTTCAATGCAAGCTTTGATTCATCCGTTATCTTATCTGGTAGTAAAGTAATACGTCTATGTGTATGATCTGTACATAAAAAAAAAATATTTTAAAAAGAGAGAAAGAGAGAAATATGAGATCTTCATAACATAATAAATACATATATTTATAAATATAACATTGGATATATTTATAAATATAACATAGCATTGGAATACTACTTACCCTTACCAGCTGGGTCATAATACGGCCCTTTTGGATCTTGCATTCCTAATAATTCGCGAATCATCGCTCCTGTACTTGTAGATGTATAGAAGAAAATAACTGGCATAGACTTCCCAAAATGTACTAATACCTTTACAAGATCTCGAATTTTCACATCCAACGTTACAAAACTCGTATCTGCAAAATACAACAATACTGAAAAATATACTCTATTTTTATATGATTTATTTCCTCTAACATAAGGTCAAAATCATTTTTCGTTTTGGGTGTGGTGGAAGCGAATGGACATGGAGAGGAAATAAAGAACAACTGCGGCCGCATCACGTTCATCCAACATTAAAGTTTGGAGAAGGTCATATCATGATTTGGGGTTGCATGACAAGTGAGGGCGTCGGATGTGTTGAAAAAATTGTAAGTCAAATGACTGCAACATCATACACATCCATCCTGTAGAAAAGTTTAATTGGAAGCTTGGCAAAATGAAATAAGAACGCAGAAGAAGTCATTTTCAGCACAACAGCGACCCTAAAAACCAAAAAAGAAATCACCAAAGAATGGTTAACTGCTCATGGATTCACTTTTTAGACTGGCGCCCACAGTCTTCCGATCTAAACCCAATAGAACACCTATGGAGTTTACTGAAAAGAGCAGTTGCCAATTTCGATCATAATTCGAGAAGTATTATCGAATTGTGGTCAGAAGTAAAAGTCGCTTGGGAAAATGTTAAGCCTGAACAGTGCAAAAGTTTAGTAGATAGCATGCCAATACGCATAGAAGCTGTATTGAAAACGAAAGAAGGATATACGAAGTACTAAAATTTCATTTTTCCAAACTCAAAAAATTGATCAAATCCCGGATTTGTTAATTTCATTTAATTTTGCTTAAAATATGTAAAATAATTAAATTATTTCTGTATTATGTGAACTACGAAAGCTATGTAAAATGTGTAACATATTAAAATTATTTCTGTACTATGTGATTATGAAAGTTATGTAAAAATATGAACACTGTGAGAACATTTGATCAATTGTTTGAGTCACTGTATATCACTTTAATTTCCAAGATAGCAAGCTCAGTCAAATATATTGTAAGTATATTCAACAAATTTTCAAACTTATTTTTCTCGAAAATGAAATTTATATAGTTCAATTTTCGTTACTTTTTGACGCAGCTTTTCAAATTAAGTATAATTCTTTACTTTATCTTACACGATGTTTTTATATTATCTTGTGAGGAAATTATTTACCGTTTAAAAAAAATTGAATGTATAAATATAAAATTATTAATGTGATAGTAACTTTTTTAACAGAATATATTAAATGTAGCAATTAATTCGGTGCCTTGATAATTTGAAGAATAACACGTCTATAATTACTTTATAAACAAAGATTAAATTTGTTAAAAAGGCGCCGAATTAATTGCTATACATAATATATATATATTTTTTTTATTTATTATGGTTATGAATGAAGATGGCGTTATGAATTCAAAATCTTATAGCCGCAAGTACTAAATCCTGCCAATGTTTCCTCTGAGCAAGATACTTAATGTATATCATTTATTTAATTCTTACCATCTTCTAACAAGGGTATTCCAAATCTTATTCCACTGGAAGTTATTACTATTTTCTCCGGCGGAACATATTTATATGATCCTATTCTGACTGTTCGACATAAAATAGCTGCGTGTAAATTTTGTATAGAACTGTTTATAAAATTTGGATTTTCACTTTTTAAACTTCCATCTATAAAAGCAATTATATTAACATTAATAAACATTATGGAATATATTATAAAGATATCTATTTTGATGACAAAATTAATCAATATTATTACCTTCAGTAGATTCTTCGTTGCTTGGTGAAAAATCAATATTTGTGCTAGAAACAGAGTTGTTTGTAATTACTGGTTCTTTATCAAGAATTGTCTCCATTTCTTCGCTTAAATTATTACTTGCGTTACTTGAAACTGCATTATTGAAAACACCATCTACTTTTCTAGTTTTCCCCTCTTCATCCTCATCTGATGATATGGTTAAACATTCTAAAAAAAAGAAACGATACAATTAATATAAAGTTACAGATAAAAATTACCGAGCAATAAAGTTTTTCGTATTTTATGTAATATATTTTGTTTAAAGTTATCAATAAAATTTATATTATATAAATTATTTGTATTATTTAATATTATTAAAGTATAATATACTCTAAATATATATACCTGGTTCTTTATTAATAATTTTTGTCCTTGATGTATATACTCTTCCTCTTCCTCTACCACGTTTATAAGCAGATCCATCGCGTTCTAATTTTTCCAACTTCGCTGAAGAGTTTCGTTCATTGTTTTTCTTATAAAATGTCTGCAAAAATATAACATTATAATATATCTTAGATACTTAAAGAAATATTTTTATTAAAACTAAAGAATATAAAAAAAAAAAATAAACATCTGGAATGTGAAGTAACAAAAAAATAATCACAGAAGAAATCTGCTACTAATATAACCTGAAACTTCGACGTACAGAAAATTTTTAAGTTTAAAATTATATTAATAAATTTAATATCTTAAAAATTATGCTGTATATATAATATTTAATAACTACACATTCTCTTTATTCGGTAATACTATATAAGCATGTATTAGTTTGTCCGGAAAATTCGTGCCGAATTATGTGTTTAATGTATTAAATTGAATATATTTTTTTCAAAATTGACATAAACTTTCCGGACAATTTAATGTATAATCGAATGGTTGCCAGAAAAGTTTATGTCGATGTTGAAAAAAATATATTTAATACATTAAAAATATAAATCGAACATAATGATTGATAAACCGACATGAACTTTCCAGGCAATCCAATACAATTTGAATCATATGAATTTGTTAGACATTCATCTGTCCCTCAATCACTATATTAAAAAACAATTTGTAATATTAAGCACAATGCACAATACTGGTCTTCAAGCATTCCAGTCATAATCCTTACATTGACAGACAGCATGTTCTCCTTTTTTTCTTGTATACCCATAGTCATAGGTATCGTCTTCACGTCCTCCGGCAATTTTTTCAAACATCGTTGACATCGGTTGAAGTCTAATGAGCTAATACCACAGTTTGGACACAGTGCAAGCTTCCCCTCGATGTATGTAGCCTCCTAATTCCATACAAAATGTAGCTTATAGCTTCTGCCATAATTTACTTAATAAAACAATTTTGTATATGTCAAATTGACATTATTAATTATTATTTTCATATACTATCATATCACATTAATAAACTAGAATGAGTTTTTTAAATTGGAACAATTCAATTTTCAAAAACAACACATTTTTAAAAAGAAAGTTTGAAACAAAAGTTAATAAAATACGGTTAAATAAGAAGAAATAATTTTGTTGTTTCTACTGCAACTTTCATTTACAAACTTTCTTTTGAAAAATGCGTTCTTTTCAAAATATTTAGGTGATTCAATTTAAAATACTCATATTGTATACACCTATTGCCCAAATAACTGTTTATCAAATTACAAAGTTATTTTTTACAGATGTAACACATTATTGATATTGCTACTACATATATACAGGATAGAATTTCTATATATAAATAAATTATCCTTAAAATTAAAGAACAAATCTTGGAATATATATAATACATTATATCTAACAGATATTGACAAATATTATATAATATTGATTTGCCACATATATTTCACAAATAAATGAATTTTTTGTATTTATAATAAAGACCTGAAAAATGATTATATCTTATATACATGACACAATAATTCACTATTACATTACATGTATATTAATACTTTGCGGTCCTCCAACGATATCATTTGCTAACAAAAACTTTATCAGAATACAAATGTTTGATAGTATGTACCTATTATATCAAAAACATTAAAAGAAGATAAATATATCTAAATAATACTCAAAATTAAATGATCAAAACCATCTCAAAGATTGCAGACCTTGCAAAGTATTAATATTATGAAATATAATGAAATTATTTACTATGTTTCATTCCCCTAAATGTTTATATATTTTCAAGATAACGAAGAAAAAGTTATATCTTCAAAATAAAATTTAAAAAAAGAATGTGACAAACAGAAAAGTATATACAAACATAACGTATATTTAAAATATAATATTTTTATTAATATACGTTTAAAACATACTGTCATAAATAATTATAATTAATTATTTCTATATATTAAGAACACACATATAGAATTAATTAATAAAGTTACTTAAGTCAACGGCTTAGCCACGTTGGATTACTAATTCCCCTTAAATCATTAATGTCAAGCAATGTAAGCACAATTAATAAAATGGATGAATAACTCTTTCAAAAAAAAAACAAAAATCGTGTGTCGTTGATTCCAAAAAGGCGATAAAAAGACGGGGCCTCTTTGGTAGCAATGAAATTAGGTGTGAGAAGATGTTTATAGAGAAGTGACTCGAACCATCAAAAGACAGAGTAAGAAGATAAGAAAGAATAAAGTAAATTAAACTAATCAATAATAATAAATCCGAATGCTTTTATATATAAAATAGTAATCTTTGCTTACCTCGTTTTGACATATGGGATTGCTATTTTCATCGGGTGAACTAAAAGACATTAATTTTTGTATAAACATTTATATTAATATACGATAAATTTCTATTAACCACTTCGATACGAGCGTCAAATATAATCGATACAGATCTGTAAAAGAGCGAAACGGATTTGTTGCCAATATATAGCACAATATATCGTGTGTACTATGAGTGCCGACTGTAGACAAGATTTTGAGGCCAGTAAGCAACGTACCGAAATGGTTATTATACGATAACTTTTAACCCCTTCGCTACTACGAGTGACTATAGTCGCTCTCCATAAAATGCCGCGTATTTTACATATGACGAGTATATGCAGTTATGGCAGATCAAATATCCACTCTGGGCGTGTATTTTTAGTGTTTTATTTCTTTCGAAAACACTCTCAATATCAGCAACAAAATGCTTTAAGAATTAGTCTCGGCTGCTGATGATCGGTCTCACGCAACGTGCAGTTTCATTGCTGCGCGTTACAGCGGCCTCTTCAGTAGGAGTACCAACGCGGGAAACGCGTAGCGAAAGAGTTAAAGTAGTTTATCTACTGTTTTGTGATAAACACAATATTCGAATTTCAAAATAATCTTACCTAATTGTACGAGATGTATTACGAGATCCCATAGTCGCACTATCCTGCGATGTGTTACTGTCGTGCTCATGAATTTCATTTAATATGGCACCATTACTTGGCGCCACTGTTTCCACGATATAATTTATGCCAAAGGTAGAATCAGAAACTAAGCATACAGTTGTTTCACCACCAAATGTAATGTTTGCCTTATAACATTAATATTTTATAAGAAATGATATATACAGAAATTAGAAATTAGTAATTAAATAATTATTTAGTAATAATGATACCTGCTCCAGAAGATCTTGCACACTACAATCATTATTTGATATATCAAACGTGATTAATCTCTGTTCACCATTTGGTAACATTACCAACATTTTCGCTGTGTTACCTTGTATTTGACGCTGTACTATGGTATTGGAAGGATTATTGATAACTTTTTGTAAATAAGCAATGCTTTCACTTGCACTACTTTCTGAATCTGTTTGAGATGGAGAAGATTGTTGTTTAACAATGCATTTTTCTTGCAAGATACAATCAGCATCAACATCTGAATTAGTTTGCACATTTTGTTGAGGCGAAAGAGGTGAAAGAGGTGAAGACTGTATTTGATGTAGATTTTTTTGTTCTACAGTCGCAACTGATGATTGTTTTTGTAATTGTTGAAATTGTGTTGAAATATTTTGTAATTGCTTTTGTTGCATTACGTTTGTTGATACTTGTTGAGTTTGTAAGGAATTAGCTGTAGCATTTTGTATAGTCTTTTGTGGCATATTGGATACTTGGTTTTTCCTCATATTTTGTTGTGATCGTTGATCATTTTGCAAATGCCGTAATTTTGCTTGTTTTATTCTTTGACTTAAATGTTCCATTTCTGGACGCTGTAGTCTTAATGGATTTTTCGACATCTGATTAGGAACTGGAGGTCGTGTTGGAGACACTTGAACAAAAGATGCACGAACTTGTCGCGTAAATGTTGTAGTTACATTCTGTCCAATTGCATTAACTGCTTTATTATGGAATGAAGGTGAAGTTACTTTAATGTTTGATACATAATAACGTTGTACTTGATCTGTTGCATTTAAACCATCAGAAGGAATGGATGGAGACACTGTTTGTATATTATTCGTAGGAAGTCGGTTTTTATTTTGATATAATTTGATTGACTTCTTTTCTGAAGTTTCAGGACTATAACCCTGATTTCAGTATTTCCATGTAAAGTTAAATAAAAAAAAAGACAATATTATTAAAAGTGCAAATTACAAATGTATATGGTTAATGTATGCAAACTACAATATCACTCACAGATATTGCTATATTATTTTGTGTTTGTCCCTTATTTAAAATAGCAGTTTGGCTCTTTTCAGAAAAAAGAGTATTTTGTTTCGAAACTGCATCTACGTTAATACTATTTTCTTGCATCTTCACCCATTGTATCTGTTGATTATCGTTACTACATTCCACCAATGGTTTAGTAACTACAAATTTAATTTACTATATTAATTTTTAATAAAAAAATTTTTTTAAATGGAGAACACTATAGTTCAACATTTATGTTATGTTTAAATTTATTTAAAGAAATATCTGTATATACTGGTTACCAAAATTTATATAAAAAAAAAAAACACACGAGCTTATTTCATGAAAATGTATTCTAATGGTTTTATTATACGTTAATTATTATATGAAATATAATAATCCCAATATTTACCTTTATTATCCACAACACCTACTATATTTTCTCCTGCCGTATGTATTTTAACTGTATTAGGCTTTAATATACTTGGAGGAGGAGGTGGTGATGATGGTGTTTCATTAGTCTTAATTATAAACACGTTTTGCCTAAAAAATAAATAAATAGTATTAAATGTTAACTTTCTTTGAGTCTATGATAAAAGATGAAATTAACCAATCTATATCATATATATCAGATTAGCATTTTCTTGTGTATCAATCTCAGTTTTTTGTAATAATATATATTTGCATTTGCAGTTAAAAATATAATCACTTGGAGCACTTAAAGTACTTGAAAGACTTGAAACTAACTTACAATAAATACGAATATGAGAAACATAAATATAAGAAGCTTTGTAAGGTACATTTTGTTTTTATTTTTTTTTTTCCTTTATATATATGAATTACAGTACATTATGTAGTATTATAATGACTTATAGATAATAAATAAGTTAAAAAAACATAAGATTGACACATTAAGAGAAGGAGAGAACTATTTTATGATTTTATAGATTCTAATTACACATACTATTTTCTAACATCTGCAGTTTCATAATATTGTATGTTTATTAAAATAATACATTTCATGTCTTCTAAATAGTACTGATCTTGATGTATAGTAATTATTACTTAAATAATGATTTAATGAAAAAAATACAAAAGACAATGTTTAAACGAAAATGATATTATTAATATATTCTTTGAGGCACACGAGTACAAATGCAATAAGGATTATACCAAAATTCGTAATAAATATTCTGTAACATATTTCTGCAACAGCACAACAATTCTCCTAAACACAAACGAGAAATAATTTAAATTAATATTAAATAATCCCCAAGGAGTTAAATATTAAAAATATCTATAATAATTAACGATACATTTATTTTTCTTCCATTAAATCAATAATATATAAATAAATTTAGTTAAATTTTTATATTTAGATTTATATCCATCTTATAAAGCATTCAGATCAATCAAAAAAAGATAATCATTTTACTACATGAATACTTGAAATGCATGCTCATAAGTTACCCTTGATCCAATTGCGTTGCTGAAATTTGACTCCCTAAGTTAATAGTTTGCTGGCAAAATATTGCTTGTTCACTGTTTTGTTGGGCAGGAGTATAAGCCAAAAATTGTTGTGAACCATTACCACCATTATTTATATTCTCAACTAACTGAACATGTTGCCCTTCTACAGAGCAAATTCTCTGTACTTCTTCAAGAGTTAATGTACCACTGGCATTGGTCACAAAATTATAATATTGTGCCATATTACACAAGATTTTACTGCTCGCAACACAATCTTTTCTCAATCAATGTAGATCAGTATTTGACTGCTGCTACTGTGCCAGAATATACCAGTCCATTAATATCATTTCTGTAGAATGTAGTTTCTAGAATGTGCACAATACGACCTATTAAACATAATTTACAATTACTCTAACAAATTTTTCGTATAATATATTTATCCTACGTGAAATATTAATATGTATACGTATAAAGATATATTTCAATAAAGATATTTTATGTCTTTAAAAAATAAAATTGGAATAAGAGAAAGAGAAAGAGAAAAAGACAGACAAAGAAAAGAAAGTTAAATTGAAAAATAATATAAAGACTAGTTAAGTATTGAATAATAGATTGCAATAAGAAAAGTAAAAAATAATAAAAAAAACTAAATACATTTGTTCACGCATATATAAGTAAATTCGATAGTCAAAATTGAAGATTATTTAAATTTGAATTTTTTACGTAGTGATTACATAATAGGCATAACTTAGCACAGAAGCATATACATAAGAGTTTTTGTAATATCAAGCAGCAAAAGATTATGTATGAATTTATTGTTTTTACAAATTGCTATTATTCCTTGATGATTATTATTTGAAATATTTTTTTTAAACTATGAGTAGGACATAATAATTTGATTAATACAGTTGTATAGTATACCTAATATATCAATATTTTGATCGTACTGAATACTGTTGCTATAAAATAAATAATAAGTAATAAATACTAATATATTAATAAAAGCATATTTTAATTGGCATATCAAATGATGTTAAGTAATAATCAAATTTAATTCATTTATATATTGAATGTTTGTACAACATGTGCATCAAAGATTTAAATACCTAAAAAATTTATCATAAATAAATTTTGTACTGTGTGAGTTAGAAAATAGTTATGTAGTGATTCTTTCTACACTATGGGATAAGTATTTGTTGCAATGTACCGTATTAGAAAACAAGAATAGTTCATAAATGTAATTAATCTCTATTATGTTCTTATAATTAAATATGTAAATGATATTACATGATTATTAAATGAAATAATATATCAAAAATTAGACCGATTTTTTTAGTTCATATTAAGTATTAAACTTACATTATATACTTTAATACTTTAAAAATAATGTTTCTTGTTAATAAAAAAAACTGCAGATATTTTTATGTCATGATCATATACATCGGATAACATCTTTCTTTCGTTTTCATATTTGAATGATCTGTAATCATACCACGCGCGCGAACGCACACACACAAATAGAAAAATAATCTAAATAATTAAACTGTCTTAACAAATGACAAAAAAATATAATTTTCTAATAGTTTGCATACAATACAGAGATACAAATTACAATTAAAAATTTTTAAAAACAAAAACGTGTATAAGCTCTCGCCTAAAGATCCATGTGGGTCCGTAATTTAATTAATGAAAATATCGAATGTTGGAGAAAAATAATAACTTTCACAATTACTTTAATTTATCTAAGTTTATATTTACTATTAATTTATCTTAATTTATATTTATTAATATTGTTTTTAATAATTAATGAAATTAGTAGAACGTGTAAATCTTATCTGATAAAAAGTAACCGTCGTATGAAATATATCATTCGAATCATAACCTAAAAGTCAAAGGAAAAGAATCGATCTTGAGAAACTCGTATGAATATCCATGCGTATAATATTAAACGAAATTATATCCTGTATAATTTTAAGAATAAGGCTAACAATATAATTATACAGTATACAAATAATAATTAATGAATTTTAAACTAATGTGTATATGATCATGATATCTGAAGAAAAAAGATCAATCTATTCTTTTCATAACCTTAATGTAAAAATGTAACGTTATAAACAATTCAATTAATAGAAAATAACGATAAAAAAGATTCTAGACATTATATTAATTGTTTCATCGGCGTTATCGATATTAACTAAGAACAAGAAGTATGGATTAGAGAATTCGGTGCATGAACGGTTTTCATCAGTGCGTTCACGAATTGAAATATTTATTAATAAACGTTTTAAAATAATACTCACAAATACCCGTATACGACGAATAATCGCACTAGTTTAATTAATCTAATAATTACGAATATATTTAATGCGTTTTAAAGTTTTCTCGTTATATACCACGTAAGTAAATAACAACTACATTTCGCCATTTTACGAGCCCGTTTGTCTGAACGAATTGCAAAGTAACATACAGGCCACAAAAGATTACGCCACTGCGTCACGAACTGGTTGTTTCCGGCTTGATATTCTTGAAGTTGGCTACAGCGGGAAATTCGGGAAAATTCAAATTTCATATAACCTCTGTTTAAATACGTACATACATAACCGTAATTTTGACTATCCGCTTATTATGATTGGTAATTAAATATATCACTAAGTTTATTTCTAACAATTAAAATAAATATATATCTTTTATAAACAAAATATGTGGTTATCCTATATAGAAATAATTAAGGGATTATTATTACGATAAAACCAAAAAATTGATTAAATTTTATAAAAACAAGAGAAATGAACGATTAATACAATTCTAAAAGTATTAAGTAAGTTTCAGAAAAAATATTAATATAACATATGCTAATTTCAATATGTTTTTAATTAGTATTTAAATATCAATAACACATTCGTATATATTTTGAACGTTTGGTAACACAATCTTCCGTACACTATAAAGTTATACGAGTGATATAATGACCAATTAAAATATCAAAAGATTTAAATGGATTAGAATATATGAAAAAAAATGAATGGTGTTTTATAAGACGTGGTTACTTCAAGTCAACTTGAGTATAAATCCTTTAAAAAAGATTATTAAAATATGAATTCACAAAGGAATCGTGACTTTGAATTAGCATTAAATTTACACGATGAACTTAATATTGTTGGTGTAACAGAAAATGCAATTATTCCAAATGACGTAAGTTTTTTTGCTTTGTTGTATCAACTCTTTCTCTTTCTTTTTCTTTATTTTCATTAAATAATAAATGTGTTAATATTATTTATTATTGTTATTAATTACAGCAAAAGAAAAAACCTTACAAACCAAAAACATTAGTGGATCAAACATTAGAAATAATAGATCCAACTCCTAATATTTATACATTATTTATGCAATTTAATACACGTTTCTTCTGGAATGTTCTATTACCTGTTGAGGTCAAATGGAGTAATAGAATGACAAGGTATCAATGTTATTTGTTATTCTTATAAATATAGTCAACAGTCTCGCTCCATTGAAAAAACTAGTTCCTATACGATCACTAAAGTAAGGCAAAGATGGGTACAGTTATTACTTAAATAGATGACCACTTTAGAACACCGTATGTTATTGAATCAAGAAAGATAGCAAGATAGCCACTATAGATACGTGAACTATCTTGAAAAGATACCGTAAATAAGTTCGTAAAACCCGTAAAAAAATGAAAGTAATAACGATAATATATATTTTTGTAAATATAATTAAAGTATATATGTATATAAATATTATTTATTACAGCTGTGCAGGAATATGTTCTTATCATTCAAGAAATAAACAATGTATCATTTCTCTCAGTGTTCCACTGCTAAAACTCAGACCACGTAAAGACCTTGTTGAGACATTATTGGTAATGTTCATAGTTTTTTTTTTTTTCATTTTTTATGAATCATATGAAATAATAAAAAGTATTTTTATCATTTCAGCATGAAATGATTCATGGTTATTTGTTCCTGACAAACAATAATCGTGATAGAGATGGGCACGGACCAGAGTTTTGTAAACATATGCATCGAATTAATAAAGAAGCTGGAACGAACATAACAGTATGTAAATATTAACGAATAAATAATTGCATAAATTGAAATAATAAGAAGATATTATGTGTCTTTAGATATATCATACTTTTCACGACGAAGTTAAATTGTATCAACAACATTGGTGGAGATGCGATGGACCTTGCCATAAAAAGGCTCCATATTTTGGAACTGTACGTAGAGCGATGAATCGTGCACCAGGTCCATCAGATTTTTGGTGGAAAGAGCATCAACAAAGTTGTGGTGGGAAGTTTATAAAAATCAAAGAACCGGAAAATTTTAAATCTAAGAATACAAAGAATAAGCAAAAGTTGAAAGCTATAACAGAAAATACTCAGAAAGAAAATAGTATAACTGATTGGTTAACAAACAATGATAATCCATCTAAACAACATGAATCTAACAATATATCTACATCACAAATTACACCTATATCAAAAATATTTAAAACAGGAGATAATAAAAATAAAAATATACCTAAAAGCGTTGATAGTCCTCTTAATGCAAAAATAAATAATAAATTGTTAGATGACACTCCAAAGAAACTTGGTAATAATATGAATAATATTCATGGCTGGGGTGTAGGAGGACCGATAAATTCGCCTACTTCTAAAGTAGTTAAGAAAAATCGTGTACCTAAATCTTCTGATTCAAAGCAACTAGGAGGGGCACTAAAGAAACTTGGTAATAATACAAATAATATTCATGGATGGGGTGTAGGAGGGCCGAACAGTTCGTCTGTTCCTAAAGTAGTTAATAAAAATCATATGCCTAAATTTTCTTGTTCGGGACAAGTAGGAGGCTCTAATACTGGCAAAAGTAATTTATTAAATAAATTTTTTATAAAAAATAATAATCAGCAGCAAACATTATCATCAAAAAATACTTCATCGTATGATAAATTTAGTAGTACAAATAATACAGTTTTAAAATCTGTTCAAGAAAACACAAGTGCAAATCAAAATAATACTTTAAATCAAAAGGCTAGTGACTCTGTTAATTGCCCTGTATGTAATGTTGCTGTTTCTGTTAATATTATTAATGACCATATAGACTTGTGTTTGGAAAATGAAGATGAACAAAAATTATACAATATAAAAGATACTCCACTGCATTCTAATGTTAATAAACAAATGGATACTTCCTCAATTAAAGATACTATATTTACTACTCCTAAACGAAATAACGTAATGCATAAATCATCAAAGAAACGACAAAAAGTTGAAAATTCTCATGAATCTGAATCCACAGATTGTCCAATATGTCATAAGAAATTTAAGACTACAGATATTTATAATCATTTTGACGTATGTTTTCCAGAGCAATGTTCGTCAAATTCATCGGATAATATAATAGTTATTGATAGTTCTTCAGATTGTGAATCATCTAATAGTATATTCATTGATGATAGTCCTAATATAAAACTAAACATAAAACCTAATATCATGAATGAAAATCACAAATGTTTAATTTGCAACACAATCATTCCATCTACCATGTCATTAAATGATCATTTAGAAGAATGCATCGGTACAATGTTTAATGATGAATCTATATCATTCTCTGATAATGATAATGACGATAGCAATTCTGAAGATGCTCGTGCAACAGATCGAAATTATCCTTGTCCTGTCTGCATGGAATTATTTACAGAAAATATTATGAACAAGCATTTGGATACATGCCTTAAAAAATACTAGTTATGATGTAATAGATATATATATCGGTGAATTATCAGTGAAAATATGAAAAATGTTATACAAGTAGCCCTCCTACAACACGGCATCCTATAACACGATTTCCTTTCAAAAAACCTTTGTACAGCACTGTACTTCTACAGCCGCGGCGAGGCCGTGCCGTCTTAAAGATACAGTTTTGCAGAAAATATTTATTTTCATCTCCATGGTCTGAAAACAAAAGTCTCATACAACACAGCATTTTCTAGGAACCTATCTACCGTGTTATAGGAGGGTTACCTATACTGGCTAATGATGCTGTAATATTTGCAAAAATTGAATAATATTTATAAATAATATTTTTTTTTAACGTAAAGCTAAATGTTTATTTTTATTTATTTATTTTTTATTGTATAGAAATATATTACATAGAATATTACATTTATTTAAATTTAATCTTAAAAATATACTTAATATTGAATAATATAAGATGATTGCTGTCCTGCTATGTACTTTAATATTAAACATACATCATAATATTTACATTAGAATACTAATTGTAAGAGAAATTTATAACATTCTTGAATTTATATAATATCAAATATTATCTTCTATATAAATAAAATAAAATAATATATTACACTTTTTATAATTCTTCATATATGTGACTTATAATAAGGTTATTAACTGTACACATACCACAACTGAATTCAGTTAAATAAGTTGGGAAAAAAAGGACAACTTGTTGTTTTGTCCAATGCATATATAAAAGAATATTAGGAAATAATATATCAACAGATCGATCGTGCAATTTTATCCTATAACATTAATAATTTTTTATTATTATTATTTTACTGTTAAAATTTATAGATATGTATGAAATCAGTTACATTATTATAAAATTATTAAAATTATTACATTATTTAAAAAAAGTTACATACCATTTAGGTCCAAAATTTTGATATGTATACTTTTCTAACGGTACGTATGATGTAGCATTATATATATGTCCCCCATTTAAATGTTGAACTATCTTTATTGTACCTGTCTCATCGGTAATAAGTACATTTATTAAATTATTGTTTGTTCTTAAGGCTCTAAGAGCAAATCTTGGATTATCGTCGTAACATTGACCAAGTAATAAAATATTTTTGTTAGAGTTAAATACAATTGTGGTATTGTAAATCGATCGTACAATATTTGGTTCTATAATACATGTGCCTATTGATAATAAAAAGATATTTAGAGTTTTATTTTATACTGTCTGAAAAGAAAGATTATATATCATAGTTAATAAATAAATATATTCAAACAACTTACTAAAAAACGAATGAAAAAAAACACTGTCTATATATTTATGGATTCGTGTTCGTATTAAAAAATTGTCTATGAAATTAGAATCATATTGTATATTCACTTTATCTGAATTTAATTCCAGTACACTACTGTCAGATTCTTTAGGAAAGACTGTACTTAAAAAAAATTGTCCAGAATTATTGGTATAATGACTATTTCCACCAAGTAGATCGTATGCAACTCTTAACTTTGAAACGATTTTTGACAAAGGCTCTGGTAACTGTTAATGATGTCGTTAAATATAATAAAGAGAAAAATATAATTAATAACATATACATTACGAATAATTTGAACAAATATATTTATATATCCACTTACATTTTCATATTTAAGAAACATTTGATACTTCCTTAAAATTGATAATTCTTTCGAAGTTTCATAACAAGTATCAGTGTATGGTACAAAATTTCTTTTTTCCAAATCTTTACGGCACTGATCATACGGCCATTTTTCTTTTTGACTTTCTTCAATTTGTCCTTTACTAACTTCACCAATTACATTGAATAATATTGACGTACCACTACATTTACCTTTAGCACTATTAGATGGTCCCCAAACAAGAACTAATTGTAGTTTAGAAGGAGAAGCAGGATTAACATTTAAAAAGTCCCATTCCCAGTCCATTTCCCTAGCAGCTTCAATACAAAACTGAAGAAGATATATAAAAAATAAATTTATGCGTTAAAACTATTCATGTAATACATGTATATATTTTCAAATTACCTTTACTATTTTTCCATCAGGTGTAATTTGAGTTGCTTTGATTTTAAGACTGTCTGAAATCCAGCTGGTCATATCATAAATAGCAGCTAAATTCCATTGATACAAAATACGTTGAAAATGAAGTTCACGATTAGTCAAAGATAACATGTGATGTTTTTTATTTTTCACATATTCAAGTTTTACCTAACATAATATTAAATTATATTATTAATATAATTAAATAAATTACTATTCATGAAAAATATAATTTGCTACCAACTTGAGTTTGCATAAATGTATCAGATGGTCCTATATAAAAAGTTAATCCGCAACTACCTTTTGGTGGTACATATGTAAAATAATCTAAAAAATGCACCGCCGCCAAAACTACTTCCATACCTGGCCAAATTCTTAAATAATGCGAAACAAATATAAAACGCTTATATAAGTAATATAATATAAACAATAAAAATTTGAATATAAATAAAATAAAACTTACTGGTAATTAGCTTGGTGGGACGATAATATATCAGTTATTACTCTTTCTCGTGATATTGCATTTTCACAATCAAAAAGTTTTGTAAATATTTTTCCTCCCAATGCAGGAAACTCGAGTTCCAATAAATTTATTGGCTAGATAAAAATATATTTTCATTTAATTTAATTATTTTTTATTTCAATATTAAATGTTATAGTACTTTGAATACGAATTTACCTCTAATTTATTTATTGGTAATTTTTTCCTGACTGTATACGACATTGAACAATTAGGACAAATAGGTTTCAACTTATTGTGAGCATTAGATCCTTTTATGTTAGTAACTGTTCTTACATGAGCAGTAATTCCCATTTTAAAATCTTCTGCAAATACAGATACAATTATTGTATATCTTCAATGTTTAAAAATTAAAATATAAACATACCTCCTGATGTATAATATGTGATAAATGGTCTCTCATTTAATCCAATTGTAACATTAATAGGAAGATATCCATGGATAGATTGTGCTCTCTCTGCTGCATGCCACAAATCAACCAGCGGATTATAGTTTGAAATTGTTTCACTTCCATGAATTGATGTTCTAAGAATTTACATTAAAATGAGAATAATTTTTGTAAAGTTTTAATACCACCAAGCTAGTATATACCTTAATATAACATGATTATTACGTCCAATATCTGAATGGATAAAATTTCCTCTCATTGAAAATAATGACGTTGCTGTCATAGCAAGTCTTACACTTGTACCCATATCAGATACTTGTATTGATTCCATAGTTATTGGAATATTGATTCGTTGTTGATTAATATGAAATTCTGTATTTTGATAAATTTGATATATATTATCTGGCAACGAAGCTAAATCTAGAAAACAATATTCCTTCAATATTAGACTTGTTTTTCTTATTAATTATAAATAGAAATTCTTCAAAGTTATTATTAAATATAAATTTAACTATTAATTAAACATAATATACTAACATTTAACTATTTTTGCAATATTCATTTGATTTAAATGTAAACATAAAACAGTCTTCTGTTGAACTCGTGCAATTATTTCTAAATGTATTGGTGCAGTTTCTTTCTGATCTAATTTATAACGACCCAGTACATCTTTAACTAGTGTTGGATTTTCAAGATAAGTTGATAAGGAATGCAGAAGACCTTCAGCTTTTATGTACAACTATAAATAATATGTATATCATAGAGTATAATCAATAATTAATATATATGATATTGATCTATATTAAAAATATAACTAAATGTTATACTCACAGATACATGATTTAAAGTAGTACCACTTCCATAATTACTCAAAGTAACATGCATTGCTTCCGGTATATTTGTAGTTGGATTTGCTATAACAATGCCATGAATCATGGCTCCAAACTTTCTATATGAATCTTTGTAGTCAAACAAATAATTACCGGTAAGTAACAGTTCATCATTAGATGGTTTACGAAGTACACGTGTAAATTGAGCTGCTATACTTCCCCTTAAAAAAGAAAATAATTACAACTTATTTATATTATATTATATATATATACATTAAATATAACAATAATTTTTATATACATGTGAAGATAACAAGGATATGTTGTCTGTTCCATAGATTTTAGAGTTGTATAAAAATAATTATATAAATGCTTATTTGGCTCGGTTTTCATATACCAATACAACGATATTAATCTGCTTGGTGTTGGATTAGAAACAATTAATAATGTCAATGCAGCTACTCTCATTTCTAAATGCTCTGTTTTATTTACCAACATCGGCCAGTATACAGGATATATCTATATATAAAAAGATATATAATAAAACTTTCTTTATAATTAATATTTTAATAATAAAATTATATATATGTAATTTTCTTACAATCTCTGGTCTGAAAGGTGCAGATGGAAGAGATGCCCAAGCTGCAAGTACACGGAAATGGCGTGATTCGGCATTATTCCCACTTGCGATAGGTTCCAAAAATTCAACTACTCTTCCTAATTGTATATTTGCCAAACCTTCCAACCATATCATCTTTTTTTCATACTCAGTACATTCTAGAAAATATTTCATTATTAATATGACATTATATATTCTTTAGATTTAAATTAAAAAAACTTATATTGGCATACCTGTGAATTTATCAAGATAGAGACGTACATAATCTTCAAGCATTTCAGTTGGGCAGAACACAAAACATGTTTTATAAATCAATGTGCCATATGAAAGAATTGCCGTATTCTGAATTTCTGTAGAAATTTTTTTTGATAAACTTAGAAGTGGTTGTAAACTGACTAATAATTTTATGTCTGGTTTCCGAATATGAAATGGTAATTGAGTTAAAAGCTGTATCGCTGTTATATCTGATACTTTACTGTTTTGAATTAAATCGAATATAAACAAAGCAGACTCTTTACTTCCAATTTGTGGAAGTGTTTCCAAGAACATATTTCTACAATTATTGAAATAATTAAAGTTATTTCATTCTGTATACAAATCAAATATAAAATAATAAATACATTATTTTTATACCGTATTGTTTCTTCTTTGTAACTAGTTCCTGAAGTATTATTGTATGCAATTTCTAAGTCTGTACGATCTAACATTCCAAGATAATAGAGAAGAATAGAAATAGTTGTATTATGTAGATTATCTGTTTCTGTGTCCAAACCAGGAGTTTCAAGCCTTTGGCTTAATCTATCCAATAAATTTTCTATCTGTAAAAGTGTAATATTTTTTTTATTGTAGAAATTGAGAAATAGATAACAAAAATTTAAAATTAGATTAAAATAAAATAAAACTTACAACTTTAAAAATAGCATCTTTATCAAATATTCCTCTACCTTGCGTCAAATCTTCTTCTGGAAGTTCATGTTGCAAAGTTACGGTATGTGGATTGTACAATGAAATTGGATTCACTATGTCTTGTTCCGTAATTAATTGAAGATTTTGCCTATATACTCCATATAAATATTATTCTATTACTATTAAAAAATAAATTTTAAAAACAAAGAAAAAACGTACTTTACAAAGGAAAAATGTGCTTCGCCGAAACTTTGAAATGGTTGTACATATATTCCTCCTGTTGCATTGATATATACAATATCTTGTACAGTGTTGTTATATCTTACATAATACAGTCTTTCGCTAGACTTTAAAATAGGGTCCTAAAAGAAATATAAACATAAATAAAATTATTAACAAATATAAAAATAAATATATGCTAAAACCTACTTGTTCAGAATGAGAACATTGCATTCTTGGAACATTGGTCCAGAATTGAAAGGGATGACTGATACAAGTCCGTGGATCTAAAGATTTTCTAATTATTTTTTCATCATTATTCTCGGAACTTATAACATATTCTATATTACATTGACCATAATGATTTATCTACAAACATATGAAAAATTACATTATTATATCCAACAATTATTTTCCTATTTGAATATTATATATATATATATNTATATATATATATATATATATATATATATATATATATATATATATATGATTATTTATAAATGATATATTATGATATTATAACAACTTGCTTCAGTAGAATGGAATGCTGCTTGCTTTTCTATATTAGAAAGATCCAGTTGTAATATGCCTACTATACTGCGTTTTATATTTGTAACCCAAACAGGTTCATTTTGTATAGTAAAATTTTCTACAAGTCCCATTTTATAAGTAACTTCAAAAGGCATCAAAAGGTCTGCAGCGCTTTCATTAATATCTATATCTTCTCCTTTTTCTCCTATTTTGCCATTCCAGATATTCATTTTCAATGATTGCAACTATTTATAAAATTCATATATATCGATATCATATTTTTTGTTGGAATAAAATATAATATTTAAAGTCTGGAGACAAAATACCTGCATTACTGCAGCATTTTCTTTTGCTTGTATTACAAGAATCCCATTTAAACCCCATGAAGATGCAGCACCTGATGGTAATAGGACACCTGAACTAGAGGTAGCATTATACAAATATCTATATTCCTTTTCTGGAGTAAATAAACCCTGAATTGGTTGTATGCTGCATAGTAATATAAAAACAAAAATCCTTCCTAGCTTTTGCGTAAGGAAATATTTAGCCAAATTATTATCTACAATACAAAAATTATACACACTATACATATACACGCATAGAAAGGAGAGCGAGAATGAAAAAAAGAGGATACAAATTTGTACAATATGATATTTATATTTCACGATACTGATATTCACTTTAAAAAAATTCTAATCTCATAAATGTAAAGTGAGAAAGAAAAATAAGTTATACCTGTAAATCTCATGGTGTATGATCGTAACTCAACTAAAATAAACTAAGTTCAGAGAAGTCACGAGATGACCCTTACAACTCTTATCTTCATGACCCACAAATACTTGTATTCATCATTCTTATGTATATGAGAATTATCCCCTCAGTAAATTATCTGTATTGGTATAGACTATGCATATCATATTATCTTGCTTTTTTACGTAATGTCTATAAAATAGGAATAAATAAATACAAGATAAAGATTCTAAGAATTGATGCTAACATTTCAAACTTTTAAATGCAAGACATAATATTATTTCTATATCATTGAACAAATTACATTTAACATATTTGTTACAGTAGCATGCAACATAAAATAAGCTTTTTGTTAAATACTCTTACGATATCTCCATTGTCCGTATTCATTATTATCATTGAATAAAACAAGGCTGCTAATGAGAGTAAATAACTTTATGTTCATGATGCCTTCAATAGGACAAAAGAAATTTTTAGTACAATTAAGGCACCTTATCTATCGATAAATAATCATTTAAAAAGATATAATAATTAAATGATTATCAATGATTACAGTTAGCAGGTATCAACGAAAATACAATATTATTTCATATAAAATAGTATAACATGTATTATTACGATGTACTATGGTGATTACAATGATTAATTAACGCAAATGTAAAATAATATTTAAAGTATATGAATTATTATAATTATTTTAAGTTTAAAAAAAAACGTATATATATATATATATATATATATATGTTGTTTTGTCATTAATATATTATACAGAAAAATTGTATAATATTAATATACTTTTTTTTAAATTTAAAATTGGTACATTAATAATACCAAAAAGAATTAATATTCATTTCACGTATAATAATTTAAGATTTTTTTGTAATTTTTTAAAATATGAAAATAGATAAAGAAACACGAAGACAACTAATTGTACACACTATTTAATGATTTCTAATAAAGAACGTTATTTTTCTCTTTAAAGAAATAGTGAATATTTACAATATTATTTGTTAATGTGCACCGGATTATATACAACTATAGCAAGTGTATTATTTTTTTTGTTTTTTTTGTCTAAACACATGTTAAATAATGTTTACATTATTACTGTATAAAATAATATGTATTATACATCTAATTGTAATTGTACTAAAATGTATACTATATAATATCCTTTTATCTGTAAGTGTATAAAACTATGGATGGGTAACAATTAGTAATTATAAAATGTAAATAAATGATACTAAGAACATTCTAATCCAATATATTACAAAGGTTTAATTATCTTCAGGATGGATTTAGAGTATTCCCAGGCTTCGCTAAAATATTTAATACAATTATAATTTAGTAATATTATATTATTTAAATTTATTACATATATGTTGTGATATAAATAAAATTTTATTTAACTTACTTATGTGCAGGATTCGCTTGATCTAATTGCTCGCTCAATTGTTGAATAAGAGTGGCAAACATTTTAAGATGCTCTATTGTTTCACCTTGCAACCAAGCTCGTGGTAAAGTACTCATAATCTGAATAAAAACATAATTTATAAGCTCATAATGTGTTACTAAAAATTACGAATCAATTTATTTTTAATATGCTAAAATAATTACCATATTCGCTTTAAAAAGTGCATCTGGTGCAGATGAGACTCGTAAGCCAGCTAATAGATAACGATTTAATAACGAGCCCAATGCTAAATTTTTTAATTGAGCGTCTCCAAGAAGACCTTGCCAACTTAACAAATTTCTTAATAATTTAACCGCCATAGCAAATTGTCGTTGGAAAAATTGATGCCTGTTATCCAAAATTCTAAAAATAATATGATACAAAAATAAATATTACATTTGTACGATCCATAAAACTATGACTAAACACATTAAGCGCCGGTCCCGCGTTAGCGAGGGTTTCTGAGCCTACGTTTGAGCTTCGGTCCCGAAATGTTGCGGAATATTTTTGTTTCTATGACTGACTTACATGTTGATTTACACTTTTGAACTCAAAAAATAAAACGTATTCAATGGTTTGGAAACATTTAAATATTTTCTTTAGCTATTCGTTGTTCAGAAACACTCAAATAAGGCCAGCATTAAGGCTTTCGTGGCTGAAACGTTGCCGGCGCTCAAGCTCTAAATGTCTTATATTTTGCCAGCGCTTAATGTGTTAAAGATTTATTTAGATAAATTAAAACCTCTTACTGTTTTGGAAAAATTGGTATAAAAACGTCATTTTCAACAGCTGATTTGACTTTTTCCAATATAGCATTAAATAATGATTCTAATGGTTTGCTTGTATCATTCAAATTTGGATAATCTCTAATAAGTCGATTCACTGTACCAACAAGACGTAATGTTTGGGAAGTAGACATTGGATCCCAAATTTTGTCCACAATAGCTAAAAACAATCAAATTAAAAAAATATTTTATAGTTTTTAATAAGTATTAATGTTGGCAAATGAAATTTATAATTTAGTTACCTGTTAATTTAGGTATTACAACTTTCTCAACAGTGAGCGGTACTAATCTTACGTCAGGATCTCGCTTCAATGAATCTTCTGTTTCTTTTTTATCTAATGCATATAGCAATAATGTATTATACCACTTCGTCCTTTCTATATCAGCACTTTCCTAATAATAAAATATAAAATATCAATTTAAATCTTACTGTTAAAGAATTTCTTTTGAGGCATATATTTAATTAAATACAAAAATAAATTACCATGATAGGATTCCAGGTTATTAATTGTAATCTTATAAGAGGTGATAAAATTTTAGGTATACATAAAGATACGTAAGCTTCCATATAAGCATCTATATCAGTTTCTCTCCATAATTCTAATTTTGTAAGAATGCCTCTCAATGTACAATAATCATCCATTACATCGGCAAATATTTCTTTACCTTCTTTATCAATTTCCTCTAAAAAGAATAAAATAAAAAAATATATGTATTTAATATATATATATTCCAAAATTAATTCAATTAAACAAATCAATAATGAAACACAAGTAATAATACAATGTATATTGTTTTATCTTATGACATTATTATTAAAATGTTACAAATAGAATGTAAACATTTAAAATAATATACAACCTTTAGCTTGCTTAAATGCAAGATTTTGTTGTTCAGTGACTTCATCGTCGCTGGACATGCCATCTATATGCTTCGGTAATGTTGGAGCTAATTCTCTAGCTCTTCTACGACGTGCTCGTCTACCTTCTCTTTCTGTAACTCGTCGAATACGTGCTTCAACTTCTGGACCTCTCCTTATTGCTTGACCTCCTATAAAATAACCATGTTATAATATCCACACATAAATGTAATTGTTTCAATTATATACAAAAATAATTGCAATAAATTTTTTCATAAAATAAAATTATTAGTAAGTTTATATATATATATAAACAAAGGTGTTAATGAATTAATTTAATAAAGAAGTGTAACATTTAATAATTACTGAAATAACTGACTTGCTGCAGTTGTTATTTCTTCAGCTTGATCTCTCGTATCTTGTCTTCTTCTTTCCATTAGTTCTATTGAACGTTCCCCGTATAGATCCAGCCAGCGTTGTTCCAATCCAATAACCAAAGGCAGCTAACAAAAAATAATATATTAGAATTCACACATTGCAACAATTTAATGGTACACGAAATATGCTCCAGAAAAAATATATACTTTTTGTTATAGTAATATATATTTTATGAAAGTATTTGTTTTTTGTATGTAATATTTATAGCGATATTTAAAAAATTTTACTAGTACACAAAAAGGTATTATTTTGTCATAATGCTCTCGTATATTGTTTTTTTTTATGATGTGAGCATACAAATTTTAAATAGAAACTACTTACCACTCTTGCAATATATATATTCATTTATATAAATATTCAAAAATTATACTAATAGCTATATTATACATTTCTAAAAGAAATACAGAGAAGATTTTGACCCCCGGCAATAGAAACGATGTAAATGAGAACAAAATAAATTTTTTTACTTAGTAAAATAATTACTAACGTGATTGCTACCTTCTTTCTTCTATAAATGTATTTTATAATATCTACCATATTACTACATTCATTTTAAGTCAAAAAAAAAGAAATATATATTCAGTAATAAATGAATAAGCATAAACAATCTAATATGAAAATGCAACTTTATGCTTTAATATATCTTGAATTTCTTTCTAGCTATAAGAGATTTAATACAAATATCATTTACTTATATTTTAGGGGAGAAGAATAAAAAGAAAAAAAAAAGAAACTAATTCCTTTCAAATATTCCATTGTAATAAATAATAATACAAAGTCAACTCTCTCTCTCTCTCTCTTTTTCTCTGAATTATCTGAACAGTCGATATAGTTCTGCATGGAAAACCCCCGTGCACGTAAAAAAACGTGAGAGCGTATAAACCCACCTTCTCATCAAGACACTCTACCAAGTCAGTGACATACCCACGCAACTCTTGGTAATATCTGAAGCGTTGTGCAAGCTGCGGCGCACGAGCTTCGCCTTCATCCAATTCTTTCACAGTCTGCACTAATTCCTGTTCAAGTTGATGTTGATCTAATTGATGACGAGAATGTACTTCTTTTAAACTATCCAACCTATAAATTTTTATTCGTTCATATTATATAATAATATGTGTTATTGTTACATTGAGTAAAAATACATTAGAAATATATGATATATGCATGTGTGTATGCTTATTGATTGTTTATATAAAGTATTAAAAAAAGAAATAGAACCTTGCACGCATTTTATTAATAACTTCTTGGGGTGTAATGGGCACAACTTTTGTTGGATCCGGTGGTTGAATAGTTGGTGGAGGTGGTGGTGCTGGCATCATAACCATTTCTAATGGTACTCCAGGTGCAACCATTTGATTAACATTTAATCCTAACGTAAATTGTTGTTGTATCATAGAATCTTGATGAACTGCTGCAATCTATATTATACAATTAATTTCTATTTATCTCCTTTCATTACAATATTATAGGACTAAGCTTATGTTAGTTATCTTTACATAAAGATATCGAATACAATAAATTACCTGAGCCCCTGTAACACCTTTCCGAATTTGTTGAGCTTCCCATTCTTCTTCTTCATTTTCATTTTCACTTTCTTCGTCTGATACTAAAACACAAAAGTTTATATTACAATTTTTCAAATGTTTTTTTAACCTTCGCATTAAGTAATCTTCATATTAAATAACTAACGTTTGCTTGAAACCTGTGATGCAAGAAAAGCTTCTCTTCTCTTCTCTTTATCTCGTGCTTCTGTATTGACGGTCATATCAATACGATCTTGAGAATCGTCGTCACTTCTATCATGATCTTCTTCTCTAATTAATCGTGACTTTCCCTTTTCATCACTGCGCAAACAAAACATATATATATATATATATGTTTTAGTATTAGTTCAATAATTAATGATTACCTTTGTTCATCTAAAGGAATATAATCAGTACCCAATTCTCTAGCTTTTTGTCTACGTTTTCTAGCTGCGTGTATCATAGCAGCATCAGGTATACAGCCACCTGGAAAATATGAATGTTATAATTGAAAAAAAAATGATTGAATTTTATTTATTATATAGACATATAACTCACTCTCAAGTAGTATCTTCATCGTATCAGCTTTATTTGTAGATTTTCGAAATTTATGAGAACCTGATTCATCTTCTTCATCAGATGTATAATCGTCCTTGCCTGCTGCTAATGCAGCTCTTCCATTTAAAATCAGTGGTCCAGTATTTTTTATTTTAACCTGTTAATAAAAAATATATCCTTACATTAACAAATTTTTGTAAACAGGATAATACAAATTGCTTTTTAAAATTAAAATTGAAATAGTGATAAATTGTAGTAATTTATAGAGCTTTAATCACATGCTTATTTAGTAACAATATAAACTGATAATAAATATAAGAAATGTATAAATGCAAAACTTCAATATTGAAATAATTAATGTCTGAAAAAAATTATTTATATAAATGTTTTATAAATAGTAAGAGTACACAGTTGCGTCTTTTTTTACTATCATAAATAAACAACATAATTAATTTAAGAATAATAATAATAATACATTAATCATACATATATGTATATGTATATATATATATGAAATTGGGTAGTTTTTGTTTGAATTAATAAAAACAGAATCATTGAAAATTATTTGATTAGTGCAATACCTGATGATATTATGTACACAAATATGAAATATTATTAAATATATATCCTGCATTATTATAAAACTCAATTATCCATTCTAGTAAAATGAAATTTCTAAATAATACAGATGTTAATGAACATGTCTTCTTGTTGTATATACTCCTTGAGTGTGTGTCAAATATATACTTTAAGACGCAATAAACTAATACTTGATTATAAATTGGAGAAATTCTAATAATAATAATACATCATAGAGATAGCTTACTACTAGATCATCTGTCTTTATTTCTAAATCTTTTTCCTGTTTAATGGACATGTTTGCTTGCTCAGAGTCCGCTTGCATTTTCTCTTCACCTTTCTTTTTTCTCCTTTCGTGATCTAGCTGTTTCATCAGTTTTTTGCTCCTTGAAGATTTCTTCACCTTAAAAACTTCTCCATCATCCGCTAAAAAAATTCGACAAATTATTAACAGTTAACGTTAGAGTAAACACATTGTTTTAAATAAACGTTTTAATTGTCAGTATTAATCCTGAATCGTTTGAGACACTAAAAAAATTTTTCTAAAATGCTTAAATTAAAAAGATGAATTTTTTAAATATATCTAAGATATTGAATCATAATTCTACGTATTCTAAGGATAGAAAATGTCTTTTTAATTACTTTATATTACAAATCATAAAAAATGATATCAAAAAATAGTAAATATAACGCTTACCTTCTTCTAGCTCCTCTCCAAAACTAAGGAGCGTTTGTTTTGGCTTGTCTTTCTTCTTAGTTTTTACTTTGACAGGTTGAGTATCTTCCATTTCCATCCTGTTTTCATTATCCTCGTCCTCATCATTGAAAGGTCGCCGACGTATATTCCGTTTTGGTTTATTAAATAATGACATTGTGTTAAACAGCAATAGAGCTCAATACCTAAAAATTTGACTTGACCTATACACCAATTCTGCTGAAATTAAATACCAATAAAAAAGTTACTATTAAGAAGAAACAATAGACGAAAATGATGTTATCATATCGCGTACATTCGCATATATTCAGAAATGTATCTTTCTGCTTATTGTAAGTAAACGATGATGATGGCGATTAACTCGTCCATACAAGATTTCACGAGCGAATTGATCTTAGAATATAAAAAATGTAGAGGATAACTTCCTAATTCTAACCATATATGAAACATTTAATGGAGACTAAAGTTAACCAATGAAAATGTTTTATATATATACATATCGCGTACATATCTACACGTATAACTGGACAAGCGTGCCAAGATGATGTCACCATTTCTACTGCAGCGACATCTTTATATAGATGTACTATATTCTCTATAACCAATATCGTATTAGCGAAGTAAAGAAACAATTGAACACTAAATAATTGAATTAGCATTAATTACCATTAATCTTCAAACATCGATTACAATTAAATTGCATATACAACTAGCATTACATTCAAGGCATTCGTCTTACGTTACATAGAAACCGTCACAATATTATTAACTTTTTTTAATCTAACATGTACAAATATGCTATGTATCTTTTATGTCTGTAGAGTATTCGTTTGATTCAGTGCTATTCATAAATAAGAGTGATAAAAAATAAAGAAGAAAGAAAGAATTTCGGTTGTAAGGATTATTTTACACTCTTAGCATTTCGTAACATTTTTAATAAGACAATTTAATTAAAAAAATATTATTTATTAATTTGGTTATAATTTAAATATTTTTATCATTTTGGCAGAAATGAAAAACTATGTCTCATGTTTATGCAATTGATACTTGCGGTTATCATACAGATATTGCTGTAACAGTTTATAGGTATAAGTAACAATTAATATGACAAATTTATACGAAAGCTTAACAACTATTAACTGTTAAATAAAATTATATTTTATTTTATTTTTAGTAATCGCATATTTTTAATCGTATCGCATTTTAAGAAACTTGGGTCATTAATAACGGTGAATCGAGAATCAGCTTTAAGTCAATTTAGCAATAATATATTTTCTACGAAGTAAGTAATCTTATTGTTTAAAGTTTTTTGAACATTTTACATGTAATACGATTAAATTTGAAATTTTCAGAATTATTTTTGGTAAAGATGAAGTTGATGTTCATGCCGCCGCTAGATATATGGCAGAACAAATCAATATCGATAGACCAATGTTGTTATCTATATGTTTAAAAGATTACAATACAGAAATATTAGAAACTGTAATTAATAGTATAAATAAATTGAAACTGTGGTAATATTAAGAAAAATACCCAAAAAATGAGTGTAATATTTGGACAATTTGTTATTGGACCACCAGGTAGTGGAAAAACTACTTATTGTAATGCAATGTGCAAATTCTTGGAACAAATGGGTAGAAAAGTAGCTGTTATTAACATTGGTAAGTAAAATAACACATTACTTTGTAATCATAATCACTAATTAATAAAAATATATTTTGCTATTCTCAGATCCTGCCAATGAAAATATGGAATATGTTCCATCAGTAGATATATCAGAATTAATTAAACACGAAGAAGTTATGTTAGAATATGATCTTGGTCCAAATGGGGCATTAATATATTGTATGGAATTTTTAGAAGCTAATATTAACTGGTTGATTACTAAAGTTTTTAATTTGAAAGATTATTATCTTATTTTTGATTGTCCAGGACAGGTATAATTATATGCACCAATAATGAAATTATTTACACGAAAACGATATTTATATCTAATCATAATTCATAGGTTGAACTTTATACACACCATAAATCTGTTAGTTCAATTGTCGAGAAATTGACTCAGAATTTAGTGAGATTATGTAGCGTACATCTTATAGATTCACATCATTGTAGCGATCCAGGTAAATATATATATGTTTTCTGAAAGAGATTATATACACTCATTTAAATATTTAGAGAATAAATATGTGTATTTGTTTTGACTATAGGAAAATATTTGTCATCTTTAATTTTGTGTACAACCACTATGTTGCAAATAGGTTTGCCTCACGTTAACATTATGACCAAATTTGATGAAATGAAAAAATTTAAGGATCAGTTAGCATTTAATATAGATTTTTACACTGAAGTACTTGATTTAAATTATCTTTTAGAGAAATTGGACGAGGATCCTTTTACTACAAAGTAAATTATTTCATTTTTTGATAATTAAAATTTAAACTCTAACTTCTATTAAAATTTGAAAATTAAATTGAATTATAAATAAAAATGAATTTTCTTCTGTACAGGTATAAGAAACTAAACGCAGCTTTAATTTCTTTAGTTGAAGATTATAGTCTTGTAAGTTTCATACCATTGGATGTTACTAATCAAGCACTTTTATTAAAAGTGAAAAATGCTATTGATAAAGCTAATGGTTACATTTATGGTGGGAACGAACCTCAGGATGTTCAAGCATTATTGGCATGTGCTGTTGGTGCTGTCAGTGAAACTAAAAACATGTCTACTATAGATTCATATTTCTGAATAAACATAATTTTTTAAGGAAATTAGATGATATATATTAATATTTATTACATATATTTTTGTTTTTACTCTCCCTTTTAAAGGCACCTTTTAAGGTTAAAAAAATCTTAAAAATATGTCTTCACATTCCTGAGTCGTATTTCTCCGGAATCAACAGTTTATAATGTTCCAAAGAGGTTGACTATCTGACATAAGTTTTATCTTTGATCATTGTTGCTTAACTTTAGTTATCAAACGGGAATTAGATTTTCAACGAGGCGAGGCCATTGATTAATATTCATTATATATATATATATATGTAAGCTTTGTTTATTTATTGTACGATGTTATTAATTGTACGTTGATATCTACGGTTATACTTGAGAGGTCGACTTAACGGATGAGTGGTTTGAAAGGAGAGAGTAGAAGATCAGAACAGTAGAGATAGATAGACTAGAGAGATAGAAGGGTTTAGTGCTAGCAGCTGATTGCGGTACACCTTTTTAAAGAGAATTTAAGAAATAATATAAAACGATAATTATAGATATAGAGTATAGATATAGAGATAGAGAAGCATAAACATTAAATTGTTGATTCTCTATATTTTAGGTAAGTAGGACACATACGTTAGGGTAAGTAAGTTTGTTACGTTGTTAATAATAAAATAATAAAACTCTATATTTTAGACGAATCAATCTTGTGTTTCTGCTTCAATTTTGACCTTTCCACACATTATATATATATTTATTTATATCATTTGTACAGTATAATTTTTAAATATATAAAAAGGTTACATTTTTTATAAATATGATCCTAAATAACATTTAATCTAGTTGATTAACAAAAATTTGTGCTAAATCATCGTAGTCATATACCCTTTTTAAAAAAGTATCCATTAACTTTAAACCAGAAATAATCTATAAAATAAAACTTGTATATATTTTTATCTACATAAAAATATTTGTATTTATATAAAATATACTACTTACAGTAATACCGGTATCTAATGGAATTAAACTCAAAGGTACATCAATAGAACTTCCAGGTTTTAGTGTTCCAATTATTTTATCGGATACTCCACACCATGCAATTGAATCGCTTGATTCCAAACTTAATAATAAATCCATACTTCTTTCTCTATGATAATAAATAATAAAAATTAATACAGATAGATGTACAGATCTACTATATATATATATATATATATATATATATATATATATATATAGAGAGAGAGAGAGAGAGAGAAAATGCATTTACATTTTACAAACATAAATTATGCGATAAAAATAACAATAAGTTCATACATACGAAGTATTTATTATGTGACACTTGAGATTAACTTGTTCTTCAAGATAAACTTTCAATGGAATATCTTTCATAACAACTCTTAAATCTCCGTATTCTGGTGCCTATTTTCAAGCATAAAGAAATTATATTTCATAAATCTAATCGGTTGTAAAATTTCTTATATAATAAATAAGTAATTAAACCATTCTTTGTAATTGACTTGTTTGCAGTCGTCCTCTTTCTCCCAGATTACTTTTCCATACAATATCTAATTTGCCGATATTGGTAGCATTATGCATCATCTTGGGATCTTTTTGTAAACTCGATTGAGGTTTTAAACAATACAGATATTGTCTACTACAATTGGAATCTAATAGATTAACTTTTCCATAAATAGATTCTTCTTTTTCATTTTTATTTAATGTTGATACTAAAAAAAGAATTAATTATTATTTCACATACTATCAATTATAAATTTGTTAGTTTGATGTCATTTCTTACCACTAAATAAATGAGACGATTCCAATGACACTTTTTCTAAACAAATAGGACCTACTGTAAGATTTTGTATTTGCGCCTCAAGGTACACCTCATCGGACTATATAAAAATTATATAAGCTATTTTGTTCACTTTAATATTACTTTTATCTAATTATTGATGCTTACTTCTGCATTATAAAATTTTGTTTTCACATCTAATGGTTTAACAACTTGAAATTTAAAATATTTTCTGAACGATTGTGGAGGGCCCATCGAATTAGCAGGCATATAGCTAACTTCGCAAACCAATCTACAATAAAATAAAGAAATAAATGTAATTATAAGATTCTTTATTTGAATTAAAATATTAGTAAATTCTGATTTAATTTATTTACATATGCGTTCCTATCTCTTTAACTTCGTGATGAATAACCTCATCTACTGTATCATCAGCAGCTAATTCTTTAACCATCGAATTCCCTGATGAGAGTGAAATAATTTGGGTACTCGTTTGTAAATCTGCCTGTAGAAGTGTACAATGAAATTAAAATGTTTATATTTTTCTTTATTTCTGCCACTTACTTTGACGGTTACATTTTTAACTACTTGATTGCTACCATTATGTACACATAAATAACTAGAAAATATTTCTCCTAGATATATATTTCTGAAATATATAAATAAACGTATATTATTATATTATATTATACCATCATAGAATAATTACACGTATTTTATAAATAAAAAAAGAAATCTATGATTAAAATTTATACCCAAAACTCTGTGGTAATACCATAAATTGCCCAATAGCAAGTGTCTCCATTCCTTGTAACGCTGTACAATCATTTTTTAATTCATTGTTGAGTGTATTACTTGGTAAATCTGTTGAGTCACAAGTAACAACTGTGGGACTGGCAAGGGTTGGTCTTGTCAATCTCATAACTAGAAAAAATATATGAAACTGTTAATTTCACATATTTTGTATTAAAGAATAAAATAGTCTATATATATCTAAATAAAATGGATTATTATTGGAGTATTATCATTGTTTCTTTTTTTCAAATTATGTGATATGTGTCAAAATATTATGTATTACCTTTTAAAGCAAGTAAATATTCATTCTTTGGTTTAGTTTCCATTTTTTGTTAATAAAACTTAAAATACTGCAAATAATAACAAACTATTATTTAATTTTCATCTACACAAAAAAATTCTTACAACAAACAATCCTTTTCTTGCCGATAAATCTAAACAACCATTAAAATCCTTGAATCTAGGATCCTTACAAGAGAAAAATGCTTAAAGTGTTCATAACACTTCAAAACATGTGCGACTACAACGACAGGTATGGGCAAAATATGAATTAAAAATTTCTCACAGCTTTTTAAAAAGAAATATAAAATCTTTTCAATAATCAAAGTTTAATGGAAAATATCTTATCACTTATCTCTTACTTTTATTATTGGAAATAAATATTTTGGTTCAATATTTAATTGTTCCTTTATTTCTTATGTATTTTCTGCTCTGTGTAAAATTTTTTTTTGATATCTTGGTTATAGAGGGTAGAGGTAAGGAGTAACATCTCTGTATATGAGAAGTGTCCGTCGAATAGGGTCGCGCCACAGTAGTTTGAGGGTAAATTTTAAAAGAAGCGCCAAATATTATTAGAGTAGGATTGAGAAATAAACAAGGAAAACAAATTTCACAACACAAATTTTACCCATAACTGTTTTGTTATTCATATACTTTTTCATAAAATTAAATGATAAAAAAATCAATAAACGTACTATTCACAGTTCACGAAATAAAATCACTCTAACTACACGTTTTCTCATAATAATTATTTAAGGTTATATTTACGACATTATTACATACACGGAGAACAAATGCCAGGAGTCCGAACGTAATGTTGAAAGAATGGTATCAATTTAGGGGACAAGATATTTTGCCGGTAGGGCGCGCTGCTTTTCACAGAGTACTCGTTTAAATACTTACGCGGGAAGTCTTGTTGCTATTGACAGTTCTGAAAAAAAATATTTTAAGAAACGTGGAATTAATATTATTTAAAAACTACACAAATGTAATAATCAATTATTTGTTAACATAAAATTTTTAATATTATTTTGAGGTTACTCACTTTTGGTGCTTTGAATAAAGCCACTTTTCCTAAATTCTCACTTGCCTTTCGGCCACTAAGGCAACCATAAACGGCACAACACTTTCCCATTTTTTAATAAAAATAATTCTAAAAAAATAAATTAATATTTTATATTTAATTTACGTGTAATAATAATAATAGTATCGGTACGCTCTAGAGACCCTGTAGGAGGGACGCGCCATGTGGATTACAAGGCTGAAAATGTGGGGGGACAGCTTCCGTTGCATCGCGCAGCAATGTTTATCTTTAGTGTGCATTAACGGCTGTGGTTAGTTTAAGTTTGGAATACTTATAGTTTTTATTGTGATATTTATGTTTAATTATTTTGTTTTTTTCAGTAGTTTTCTATAAGTGTAAGTTTAATTTACTCATTTAATAATTACAAGTATAAATGTACAAACCTAACCTATAACTTATCGTTTGTTTACAGACTTATTGTTTGTGATAATTTGAGGATCATTAATAGATACTCTCTGTTTAGATTGCGAAGTGCATCGCGTAGGTATAATCGCAAAAGTTTACAAAATTTTAAGCAAACAAATCTCAGTTCGAGTAAAACTATGACCATGTACCACATTGAGAAATAAAAATATGTTAAAATAAATCTATTTTTTAATTGTTTTATATATTTGTCTTATTATTATTATTATTAATAATATAATATATATAGCAGATAATTATTTTTATCAAAATTGTATAAATTCCTACAAATTGTTTTGAAATTTCAAAATACTGTAATGCCTTTTATCAAATCAAACTTAATTGAATCTTCCTTATTAAATTTATAATAATTTTTTTGTGTAACCTATTCTATTTTAATATAAATTTTTAATTATCATTAAATATAGTTCATTTTTTTCTGTATTTGATGCAATTCATTATTTCATAATTATTTCAATGTTTGAATATTTCGCGCGCAATCACGTGACTATACGAGTTCCTGTCCTCTAGCAATCTACATGGCGCGTCCTTCCTATAGGGTCTCTAGTACGCTCTGAATACTTGCACAGCCAGTGGCAAAAAGAGAACTATGATCTGGGTCAAGAAATGACTACAACAAAAAATGTGAAAAATCCTATATCGTTCGAACTCTTGGTATCAATCCTCCGTGATTACATAACTCGGCATACTTCAATTCGTTTACATTCATACCATTCATACATTCATACCTTCTGTAGGGATCCTATAGGAGGGATGCGCCATGTACATTGCTGGGGGACCAGAACTCGATTTTGCGTGCGAATGATTCAAACATTGAAATAATTATGAAATAATGAATTGCATCAAATACAGAAAAAAAATGAACTATATTTAATGATAATTGAAAATTTATATTAAAATAGAATAGGTTACACGAAAAAATTATTATAAATTTAAGCGGTCCCCCAAAATTTTCAGCCAATGGCGCATCCCTCCTACAGGATCCCTAACCTTCTGTCTACACCAGCGCCATTCTGGAAGGTTTTTGAACTATTATTTACAGAAAACGCTGGACACTTTTTCACATTTTATCCCATAAAAGATGTTACTCCTTACCTCTACCCTCCATAATCTTGGTATATTTAATAAATTTAATTTATTAAAAAATTAATATAAAATTGATATCTTTTAGAACAAAATTTTCCCATTATTGAATAAAGTATAAATTTGTATATTATTCAGAGTTCTTAGTCTTATTAAGTAAATCTATATATGCTATGGAAATCAAATTTGTTGCATCAATATTTAAGTTTTTCATTATATTTTCGGCAACTTTTGTTCCATAATCAACATCTTGATTATCTTTTAAGATAACCTGAAACAATTATCTGTAAATACATATTTTACATATACATGTAGCATTTGTATGGAATTATTTAATTATTGAACTACATATTACATACTTCTAATTCCAAAAAACTACCTAAATCATGTACATCATCAACATGTATCCTAGTTTGATCAATTGTATATAATCGTCTCGTTTTTTTGACAGTTCCTATGATACCATTGGTAACAGACAATATTTTATTCATATCTTCATATGTTTTTGCATTTAAATCTATTTTTTTATAATCACTAAGTTTAGGACCTGTAGTATCAGGTCTTTCATAGTAAATTAATTCACCAGTTGCATCCTATAAAATGGCAGAGTTGTGCTTTTCAAATTTAAATGTCGTGAAATATTAAAAAAAAAAAATAAGAAACTAGATTATACAGTACAAAATAAATTGGCAATAGTTTCATTTGATATAATATTACATAAAAGGAAAGAAAAGAAAAAGTGATGTTTATAAAATAATCAAAGAAAATTAAAATGTTAGGTAACATTCAATAATTATTTTACTTATACTTACTTCAAAACGACGTAATTTTAATCTGCCTGTTTTCGATTCAAAGAAAGTATCTAGTTGCTTAATTACAATCATTTCAGTATCTGTAATTTTTTCAAGTTTCTCAATAAAAGTTTTAGAATCATTGATCTTTGTTTTGATTTCAACGTTTCGCATTTTTATTTTTCGATAATTTTCTTGTAAGTTATACTTAATGAGATAAATTTTAATTTTCTCTCATACAAATTTATATAAAGGATACTATTGTGTATTTACTGAAATTCAATGTAATGCAAATTTAATATTCTGCAATGAAATATATTCTACGAGTTATTATAATTTACCGTAAATAATCTTCAAAAATCTTAAGAATTATTTTGAATGTCAGTACCACGGAGGATAGATACCAGGAGTACAAACGATATAAGATTTTTCACATTTTTTGTCGTAGTCATTTCTTGACCCAGATCATAGTTCTCTTTTTTGCCACTGGCTGCGCAAATATTCAAAGCATACCGATACTATTATTATTACACGTAAATTAAATATAAAATATTAATTTATTTTTTTAGAATTATTTTTATTAAAAAATGGGAAAGTGTTGTGCCGTTTATGGTTGCCTTAGTGGCCGAAAGGCAAGTGAGAATTTAGGAAAAAATTTACGTTCGGACTCCTGGTATCTATCCTCCGTGGTCACTACACAAGTTGATCTCAATACAAACTAATTTTTTAACCTTAAAATATCTGTAGGGTCTTATCGTTAAAACTTCTTTCAGCTTACTGACACTTTTGTGGTTTTCCAATTACAGCACTAAAGCGTTTTATGCGGCATAATGCTCAACGTTCAGTGATCCCAGAGATTTTAGTTCGTCTGATCGACACAGGGGCGTAAAATTATCGTACGCGCCGGAAAATTATCGTACGTCCCGGAAAAATTTGAAATCCGACAATGTCTCGGACGAGATTTTCAAAATGTGGAAAAAGAGTGCAAGTTCCAACTTTTTCAAAGTTGATGACCTTTTTTTTATAGTTACGTTGGTCTCATCGGCGGTTCGATAAGTCCACCGGAAGATCATCAAATCGGAAAAAAAAATTGTGATGACCTTTTTTTTCTTTTTTTTTTAGTCATCAAGTTAAAAAAACCGTATCATAAAAACGATAAAAACGGCGGTCCGCAGGGAGATAGACTTGTTTGTACACGGATCGTGGTGGCGGTGGTATGGGTGGTGCTGCACCTTTCCAAAATTTGTTGACTAAAAAAAAAAGAAAGTCAAGTTTTCGAAATTCCAAATGGATCGTACGCCACGAATTTTGGATCGTACAGATCCTCAAATTATCGTACGAATGGGATCACTGCTTTCACGTGATACGTGCAATCGATACCAACTCAGTAGCAGAAAATAACCAAGTGTTTTTTCTTTAAGCTGGCATTGATCGAAATTTTATTTATTTTATCGTTAGTAATATTGTTTATTGTTGAAAAAATTCTTAAAGCTTTCATCTCGACGTAGTTTTTTGGAAATAATAAAAAGTTAATTAAGACTGTGTTAAAAAATAAATATAAGTATAGATGAAGGTATAAACATCGACTATTTTTTTTTATATCTTACACATAAAATGTGAATACAATGTCATTTTAAAATTCAAAACTATAAATAAATTTATTTTACAGAAATATACTTTTGTCAACATTGCAATGGCTTGATCAAATCATTATTATTGTATACCACTTTATTTATACATTAATGAGGTTGCTAAGTCTATGAATATTTTTTTTTTCAACACTGAACTTAGTGCACTCTGCTGGTGCACTTGAAAACTAATTCACGTTCCAATTAAGCACTAGCACAATTCGGCATTGTGCGCCACTGAGTCGCATTATGCTCTGTAATTGGAAAACCACATTTAACTCTTACAATTAATCTTATATCGGAATGAAATTAAAGTAAACTAACTGAGAACGATATTATAACCTTTATTAATACATTTTACTTATATTTACTATTATATCATATAAGTTTTATATGTATAAAATAAATTTATGAAGAGCAAAAAAAATTATATAAGTATATAGGGTGTTCAAAAAATATCATTCCACATTTATATGTTTTATAGGCTTGAGTATTGAGTAAAAAAATTTTAGTAAACATAGATCGAAAAGTCAATCGTTTCTGATGGTGAGATATAAACATTTTTGTTTGCTAGTATCATGATTGACTTACTTGCTTTCATTTAATTTCACATACGATGTTAACTATAGTGTTTTAAATCGCCTTATAAATGTTTTTGTTCAAGTTTCAAAAGTAGATTTCATTGAGAATCAGTCAGTTGTGGATCGGTGATTGTAAATATTACACAATTACAAAGTATCATGAAAATGTCAGCATATTATTTACCATGCTTGTCAAACAATTCAACAGAAATGTGGAATTTTTAAAAGAGTAAAACTCTGTAAAAAGAAGATGCCAAACGTGTGTAGAAATGGAAGGTGGACACGTGGAAAATCTTCCTTAAACATCAAAAATTCAATAATATGGCAATTATGATAATAACAAACAAAAATGTTTATATCTCAGAAACGGTTGACTTTTCGACCTATGTCACTAAAGCTTCTTTACACATGTCAGTACAATGTATCCTATATACCATATAAATACTGAATGGTTTTTTTTATAACACCCTGTATGTATGAATTAGGTTGTCCCGAAAGTTTCTTGCTTTTTCTTAATAAATTTTACATACATAGTTTCTTTTTATTTTATGTTATTTAGCTGAATAATAATATAAGATCCATTCTGCTATATTATCTTTTTCTATACTATATATTACTAACCATAAGTGAAATAACATAAAGTGAAAAATATTGTAAGCTCAAAATTTATTAAGAAAAAAAATAAACTTTTGGGATAAGGTAATATATTCTAAATATGATATATAATTAATATACATATGTATACTAGAAAATAAACCTAATCTTTGTATGTACTTTTATATAGTATTTTAAAATGATTCAGATCTAGCAAATATTTGGATTTAATTGAACATTTTCTTTCCAAGTAGAAAAATTCTCTCACATTATATGAATACACAGGGTGATCTGTAACTGGTGGTACAAGCAAAAAGGGAGTGATTCTACATGAAAAAATAAATCGAAAATAAAGAATAACAATTTTTCGTTTGAGGAAAGGGGGTGATTCTACATGAAAAAATAAATCGAAAATAAAGAATAACAATTTTTCGTTTGAGGCTTTATCGCAAAACACCATCAGTATCGATTAGTGTTCGGTATCAAATCCTTTATAGACAATAAATCTTATATTTTGTTATTTTTCTTAATATTCAATTTCTGTTAAACAAAATCCTGCGATAAGCTTATGAAATAAAATATCGTAGAATAACACGTTAAGCGCCACGGGAATTCTTAGGGAAGTTCCCGTCAGGCCACATGCGTTACTTTGTATTGAAAAAAAATAGTTAAACGTCACTCACCCGCGACTGACGCGGCATAACCAAAAGTCGTACTTTGCGAAAATTCAAAGTCGATTTTCTCGAAAAAAGCCTCAAACGAAAAATTGTTATTCTTTATTTTCGATTTATTTTTTCATGTAGAATCACCCCCTTTCCTCAAACGAAAAATTGTTATTCTTTATTTTCGATTTATTTTTTCATGTAGAATCACCTCCTTTTCGCTTGTACCACCAGTTACAGATCACCCTGTATACAAAAATGTCATACAAGTAAATCCTGAAAGTATGGTTTTATATTTCTTTATTTTTTTAATTTATGAGAAATATAATATACATAACTTTCAGTTCATTTCTTTACGAATGAAAAATGTTTTATTAATTGTTATGAAATCAAGAGAATTTTCTATATCATATAGCGTCCCCTTAGATAATGTACCAAAAATATTATAAATTTTAACGCGTTACGTGATTGCATAATAATATGACAAAAGTTGTTTCCATTTCCGCCATTTAATTTTTTATAAATAAGAACAATATAAAAGAAAGTATCTTTCTTTTTTTTATATGAAGATACACGAGAAAAGCAATTTTTTTATTTTCTTTCTTTAAAAAGCACGATTTTTTTTATTCGCAAGTACATAGGTTAACGTATTTTTTTGTTTTTATACTTTAGATTATCATTCATCTAAAGAGAGAGTGCACTTCTTTTTCTAAAGATATTACATAAAATCTTTCTATTGTCAAGTGCACGATTTCTTTTTTTGTGAAAATGTAGAAATTATTACCAATCAACAACTGCTATTTTTAAACATTTACACTTAACCTTATTCAAGTACATTTTAGTGTATGTTCAAAATGATTACAAAATATATACAATTTTATAAGTATTTAATGCAGTAAAATAATAGTGATAATAATAATAATAATAATAATAATAATAATAATAATAATAATAATAATAATAATATTAATAATAATAAAAATAATAATAATAATAGTAGAGCATTCATCAGCTCAGGACATCAACCACCACGATAGTACAATGTACTTTCAATCTGTAGCAAAACCCGTCAAAAGGAGTAACTCGGGTCACGCCAAGAAAAAATAAATAATAATAATAATAATAATAATAATAATAATAATAATAATAATAATAATAATAATAATAATAATAATAATAATATCATCTAATGTTATTAAATATTTTTATACATTTACATAGTGTTGTATTTATAATGGTTGAAGAGTTCATTATTAGATAAAGAATTAATGAACAATAACAGTAATTAATTTTACTCCAGTAAAATTCTTTATCTCGTATAATTATTACTCCAATGGTATATAAACCTATTTCAGCATTCCGATCGTTTGATTTCTTCAACATATCCAGACACCCCCCCCCCCACACACACACACCCATCCAAACACACACCCACACCCACACAAAACAAACACATTGTTATATGATATTATAACAATTCATATACATACTCAATGAACTGCATAAAGTCACAATATGTCATTGCTTTTTTTTTTGTTATTTTTTGTTTGTTTTGAAAAATGTTGGATCCGCTACATTTTTATCAGTTGTGTTTATTACTGCATTCATTGTAATTTATAATTTGATATATTATCAATCAAAGTGTTATTATAAAATAATTTCATATTCGTAGAGACATCCAGTGATTTAAAAAAGGAACTTTGTTGCTCACAAAGGCAAATGTAGCACCAAAAAATAAGTACAACATTGAGAGCAAAATTATTCATTAAAAAATATGAACACTGCAAAATATAAGATGACGTCTGGATGACCGAGAGCAAAAATATTACGTTTATGAACTTCATTAGTTTTTCAGATATGTCGTTCTTTTGTGCTACCGTATGGAATTTTTTCAAAATTGAGTTATTTCTAATGTTAACTAAGGATGGTAGTATAAACGATTTCATCGTAAATCAAAATTTTGCACGTTCCTATCGAATTCGAGAATTCGTGTATAAATTTTTTTTCTGATAGTACTAAAAATTATGGAAATATTATAAAATATCTGATTATTCGTATTACAAAAATGCAACAGTCTTCGTGTTATCTAAGAAATGTTTCTTCTGCATCATTTTGTTGTAAAAAATGCAAAATGATGTTTAATTATCCAACACTACTCGTTAATACTATCATTACTTTATTATTTTTATTTATTTATTTATTTTTTTTCAGATTATTATACCAATGTATAAAAGAACTATTAAGGCCTTGCATGCATTTCTCAATCTTTAGAAATCGAGATACTTGATAAAAGTAAAAGATTAATCGAAAAGCGAAAAAGCAATTTATTGACTGTTCACAAATTTTTTACTTTAGTAAGTTCTCGAGACTAAAGTTAACGGATACAGGCCTGGAAAGAATCAACATGGCAACAGGGATATGCTACCTGGCATAAATAATGACTTCCCAGTATTTAAACTGGTTAACATTGTCACAAATGTAGTCTAGGAAAATGTCTAAAGATTAAAAATTGTGAAAAATTATTATTCGTACAATTTTAGGAAATCTTTAAATGATTGGCCAATATATATGCCTCATCCTACAACTTTTACAATTTAGCAGGAATCAGTCAGAAGGAGAGACAAAGTAGTTAACGAACAAATTTAAGCCTTCCTCCTAACTTGAAAATTGCAACAGCATTCAATTACATTCAATCGATCTATTATATTCATCATTCAAACTAGACTCACAAATCATTATCACAAATCTGCGCTCTTTTCAATTTCAATGCATACTTCTTTAATGCCTATATTTTGTTATGTTTCTAAATAATGTTTCTTTTTGTTTTTTGTTGTTGTTAAGTTTGCATTCTTATAAATGTACAGTTTTGAACATAATTTAATCAATATTCCCGTTGAATGTCGTATCTTCTAATCGATTTAACACTTTATATTAGCCGGAAAACACTGATTTGGCGTTCAGCAGTCGCATCCTTGTTTCATCGAGTCACTCTCTGAAATTGGGCAACACGTTATAATGTGCAATAAATTATAAATTGCGATAATATAGCTGGTAATTATGAAAGTGGTTTAAGTCATTTCAGATATTAGGAAACATGTTTAGCATCATAAGTTATACTTATATTTATAAATAATTCAAACTCAAACGTGAGTATATCTTAAAAATAAAAATAAATAATTTTATCATTTACTTGGCCATTAATGATAAAGCCATGATTAATAAAGATCACCAACAAAATTATTAAAGTAAAATAACTAACCGGTTATTCCATTAGAGTTTTAGACACAATAGATGCTTCAGAAAATCTGCAGTGACGAATATCAAGGTCAGCGAAGGTGTTTGGTTTTTATTTTTTTTTTCACTTTCCGTATGATTTCTCTTCTCCAAAAACTTTTCTCATTCTTCTCGTGTCACTCTTTTTTTCATTTTCTTATCACATCCTATATACGTAGTAATATAAATATTACAAAAAAATTCATATTATTTATAGAAAAAAAGCTATATTTCTTCTTACGATTACGCGCATTGATTTAAGCGCTTTGTTGTAATATATAGTCACAATAATAAACAAATGACCATTGTCATGTGGCGGTTTGTCATTTCTTATATGTTTTAAAAGATGAATTCTTATATAAGTATATACATGCGTTTGAATGTACATGTCGATATATATATATATATATATATATATTTTTACGTGTTTTCGTTTTCTTCTTATTTTTTATGAGTGCGGTTACTACAGTTGTATTAATGTTCGCCAAGAAATAATAATCGTTAGTACAGCAGAAATATTTCTTTCGACTTTCTTCCTTCTTCCCCTCCCCTAAATAAGATTTTTAATATTTTCCAGATAAAAAGTTATCTCGAATCTTGAATAATTGTAAGAAAGCAAACTTAACTAAAATTATAAAAAAATGAATACAATAGATGGGACTATTGAAACCAAATGCCTAAAATTGCAAATGTAATTGATTGCAGAAAATTTGATAAAAATATACACATATACATGTATATATATATATATATTATTATTAACTGGCGTTAGGAACTCGAAAGTTCATTGCCGCAAATTCCAAATCCCGCCAGTGTTCTCGTCCCTGAGCACGACCCCTCTATTCACGGTTTTCGTAGTCTATTTCCTTAAGATCCCTTCTAATATTGTCCTCCCATCTACGTCTTGGTCTACTTAGTGGCCTATATATATATATATATATATATACGTAAAAATAAAAAATATATGGAGCTGTGAAGAGCAATAATTAGAAAAATTACATAGAAACGATCAAAACATTTTGAAAGAAAATAAAAATAAATAAAGGATTTTAATTTGTAACAAACAAAAGAAGTTCACTCTTCAAAATTATGTGATATCCAAAAGAATAAATAGCTATTACTATTTTATACTATAATAAACGGATTGTTAAAAGTGTAAACGATATAGAAAGATTATTATTATTATGTTTCGATTTCTGTGAAGTAATGATTGTAACGTTTGTAAGAGCATAAATATTTTGCTCTCTCTAATATTCATTCCATTCTCAACAATTAGGTAAATATCAATTACAATTCTGCAATAATTGTTTGCTTCTCTTAAAAACACATATTTCTTATTTCAGTAAAGTATCATTCATTACTTTTCTCAAAGACATGTCAATGTTCTATAATGTTGATAGAAAAATGGGTTTTGGGTTATCAGAATTGAAAATTGAAATCTCGAATTTCTTTCTTGTTCTTTTCTTTTCTTTTCTTTTGATTGTGCTGGGCTGACTTTTCTTTTGGCCATTATTATTACAATTATCCAACATTTTTTTGGTCAATTTTTCCGCATCTAATTATTCTTTATCCATATACAATTCTTTTTTCAAGTTTTGACCAGTTTAAATGTGTGGCCCCCATAAGTTTGTTTTATTACTTTATTTTCTTTTTTTTTATAGCGATGTCGTGGGCTCAAGGAAGAACACATATTAAAAACTGCAACTCCTGTCAGCTGCCATACTTAAAGTGTCATAATTAGTTGGGAACACAATTCTCCACCGAATTCGCACACAATGAAACAGTGTTGTTTAGTTGCGGGCGAATATCTCACTTATGAAGAAAACTTCAGGCGGAAAAAATGGGTCGGATGGCTGGACCGGATTTTAAAACCCGAGAAAATCTTTTCACTTGTCGGGCGACTGCTTTAACCACCATTAAGCTGCCCAGGGTCCTCTTGCCAATTCTTCCGCTTTTAATTCTTACCTACGTAAATTTCCTACACGTTTTGGACATTCTGAAAATGTGATAAATAATAATTTAATATGTTAATAAAAATATTTAAATGAATAAAAACGAAAAGCATACTGATTTATGAGAAGGGGATTTTATAATCTGAAATGTAAAAAAATACCTATTGTTGTAAGAACTGGTTCTGCAACATGCACGGATGGTACTTCCACATGTACTTCAAGAGGATCAATAAGGGAGATTTCTGTGATGACCATACGTAGTGGTTCCCCGATACCTAATTATTTCAAGTTATATATTAATTGATCAGAAATAATTAATAATCTAATTATTTTATAGTAATGAGATGGTACAACTACTTGCTTGCTATAAATACAAGGACATAAAAAGAAACAATCAAATCGTAACTAATTCAAAGTTGTTAATTGTCATTCTTAAAGGATAGTGTCACGAAAAGTAAAATTATGAAAGTGATTAATATTATCAAATTTTACCTCTTGTTGTTGGTGACTCAGATTGTTGTGATTGATGTTGTTGTGATGATTCGCTCGTGGAAGGTTCGGCTTTTGGTGATGTATCTGATACACCCTCTTCCTCCTTTTCATTATTTTCTAAGTTATCAGCCCTATCTGTTTGTTCTTGTTCATGTTCTTGTTCTGATTCTAACTTTTGTTCATGTTCTCGTTCCACCTCAGAGTCTACTTCTGTTTCATGTTCGTGTTCATGTTCTAGATCGTGTTCATGTTCTAAATCATGATCTGTTTTCCCTTCGACGACATGACTAGGCAGGGCCAAAGACGTATCTTCCATTCCGGATACAGATTCTTCTGGCAGTGTAGTAGGTCTTCTACCTTGTCTATCACGAGTCTTATATGCTTCGGCTGTTTCTGAAATGTGCTTGCACCACAACTTACGTTCGGATGGAGAAGCAGCCACTAAGTCATAAATTTGAGCTCCGTTTTGCGAGGTATTAACTAAATACAAAGAATTTTTATCTACGGCATTGTGCCTGACAAGTACCGTTGATACCTTCACAATGGGACTTAATACGGAATTTGGTTGACTTGTATTAATAAATTTTAACAGGTACTTTTCATCTTGACGGTGCAAGAAAAATATCGTATCTTCGAGTAAAACGACGTGCAAATCGACCGGTTTTGCTCTATTTTGTTCCGTTCTACGCCATTGCAATGGACCCTCGTAAATAAGTTTGCGTTTGGTTATATCGAGATTCTTGAATTCTTGAACTGTTGGATGATCAAATTTATCGAAAGCGGATCTGTCGATGGTTCGTTGAATTTCTACGAGACGTTGGTAGTCTTCTGCTTCCTTTACAGCCTGATTGACACGACTTAAGATTTCTTTGCTTCGTTCGAGACTACGAAACACCGCTGCCTTTTCCTTCTCATTCGTGTCCGGTGTATATTTCGCGAGATTTTCAAAGAGCAAAGGATATTTAGTTAATCTTAACATACCAGTCAATATGTGATCCTTCAATTGTAATCTCCTACAAAGAGGATTTGATTCGATCTCGTTCAAAAATGAGTTTAATTTGAGATCTTTGCGACGACGATCTCTTAACGCATCCAAAGCTACTTGTTGTTTCGCGCAATACGTCGAGGCAGCACGTTCGAACGTCTCACCGTCTTCTCCATCGAACATCTCCAATAAAAGATCACCTATGTCACCCACACAAGGATTTTCCTTCTTCTTCCTCTTCATCGCTTGATTAAAACGCGAATGTATTGCTACCATTTCGTCCAAATTTGAGAAAAGTAATTGGATCTGATCCAAAGGTAGTAGTTGCGATTCTAGTAATGGTTTATGGAAGACATGGGACAGAACCTTCAGAGCACGTACGTGAGATCGTTCCGTATGAAACAGTTCTGTTATCAACAAAATAAATTAAATTGTTGATGAATAACAGTGTTATTATTTTTTTTTTTCGAATATACAATTGAGACTAATTTTCGATCAAGGAATCAATCTACGTACCATTGATAACTTCTTGCCTCTTTTTTTCCGAATTACTAAGATGTGCGAGTACTTCTTCCGTAACACCTTGACTCCAATCAGAAGGATCTGGCTCGACATCGACGTCGCTATCCCACGAAGTCGATGCATTTGCCGAGGAAGTTGCTGGATGTACTTGTTCCAGGCTCGTACTTGGACTGTCCAAACTTCTAGTCGATAAACTGCTATTGGACGAGCTACCAGCCGAATTCCCAGGGAAGGTACCGGAAGGGTCGCAGTCACTGAAATAAACCCTGTAGTCAGTCGTTAACGAAACAGCTGTCGTAGGTAATTGCCCTATATATCGGATGTCTTTGAATAAACATTTTTAATGTAACGAGGTGTTTTCTACAGCCTTATTCAAAGAACATTCACATGGGACTATGACTTAATGGTAACTACCCACGTTCTTTACTCGGAAATGATGAATGTTAATGTCAAAGATTAATTTCATTCTACGAAATGACGCCAAAGTTTTAGCAAATACCTATAACTTCAATGAAATAATATACTCGTTAAGGATGTTAGATGTAATGATTAATATTGACATGATGATATGACGCAGAAATATCACGTAGAAATATCACAAAGATTTATCATTCATATTAATCCCCTTTTAATATCAGAATAACTTTTTACATAATTAATTAATACTACGTTTAAACTATTATACTGAATAAAATATTATCGATCGATATTTTAATTAATCAGCTACAACTACCTTTCGGATCTTGTACGTCGGTCATTAACAGGAAGTTCCTCTATTCCAAGGTCTCTATGTAGACCTTTGACGACGACACTCTCGTCCGCGCTTGGACACCTTTTAGAAATGTCGTTTGATCGATCGAAAAGGGGAGAAGGATTCGCGTGAGATAACGGATTGGACAAGTTCGTATCGTTGTCACGAGAACGAGGTCTAGGACGAGTACGTCGTGATCCATATTGTCTCATCTTTCTTACGTCTTCTTCTTACTCTCTAAAGGTTTCCACAATGAAATAAAAGAGACATCCATGTGACAAGTGCATCATAACTACGCACGTCAACATCGAATGAACGGGTTTCGATTCGATAATTACTATCACTACTTTCTCACTGTTCGCATTATCTCATCCCTTCCAACGGGGACACACAGTACTGATCCTGATTCCTTCGCGTACTCCGTATTCTTTATTTTTCAAAGAATAAAATTTCTTTTTTATTTATTATATAGGAAAATAATATAAATGTCTGGGTTAGAAAATATTAGTATATTAATAATTTTGATAATTTAATTTTTAATAATAAATCTGATACGAATGAGAATAATCATATTAATAGTTTGACGTAATTAATGTAAATAGGGTGAAAAAAATTTGTTATCGTTTTTCTTCAATCTTTTCGAAATATTATTTCTTAAAAGAAATAACACGTGTAAACTTTCTTAAGTTTAACGGGTCGCTTCGTCCAAGATCAACAACGATCAACAAATGTGATGTGATTTGTGTCGTCCTTAAAGGTTGAACCTTATTCCTTCGATGTTAAAAGTCGGATGGGTAGGTAGATAGCGATGCACTGACATTTTCGTTCGACGTTCTAGATATTATGTGTCACGTGTGATCTTGTTACGTTGTATGATTAGAAGGGACAAATTTGTTACGATGTTACAAATTAAAGGAGGCTACATAGACTAACTATATATTTATATAGAACAAAGATGAGAGAATGAAAAAAAAAAAGAAAAAAGGAGGGAAAAAAATCGTTTCAATTTTGAATTGTAATAGTACGTTGTACGGATTATTCTTTTTTTTTTCTGTTAGTGTTAATTACGAAAATGACAAATTAAAAAAATGAAAATTGAGAGAGAGGAAGAGAAATGATCGTTGCAATAATGTGTAATATTTTTCATTTATTTTCAAAAGCATTGTTTTTTCTACCATTTATTTAATATATTTGAATATTTATTTGAATATTTATTTGAAGGAGAAATTTTTTTATAAATGTTTTTTTGCAAATTTCAGCGAAAATAAAATTTCTATTAGTTTCCTAATAAATCTAGATTCTTTACGATAAAACTAAATTAAATTATTCTTTTCGATAAAATACTAAAATAAAAAATTATATATATATTATTATATATATATTTATATATTATATCATATTAAATTGACCAATAAATATAGGTGTTGGAATTGGTAACATTTAATATTTAAATAAATACTAATATGTGGAGTAAGAATTTCAGACATTATATATTCCGGAGAAGAAACTGTCAACTTTATACCATTACATGCATAATTAAAATTATCTCAATAAATATAATACAATTTCACTTATTTTGATATATCTAAAATTATTTTTTATTATATTTATTTTTAATAAAAATTTTAAACTACATTTTCTCTCCAGAAAACAAAATGTTCAATATTATATCATTACTATGATATATAATATTGAAAACATCTCCAAGAAAAGAAAAAAAGGAAAAACAAAAGAAAGGAAAAAAAAAAGGAAAAAACCAAGCCTTACTTATTTTTATAGAAAATATTAGAAATTCAGCGAATGCACATTTTACTTATTATTCAAACCTGAATAATAATACTTTTATTAAAGTGATTAAAAAAAAATGTCTTTTTAAGTTTTGCGCAGCAAGACATATTTCTTTCAAAAGTACATAACAACTTTACTTACATATGCATGTACGCGCGCGCGTGTATATGTATGTATGTATGTATGTATGTATAGCTATGTACATAGAAATGTAGGAGGTATAAGCTTGGGAGTTTAATCGGCGTCGATCGAGCCTTATCGAAGCCGCTCCTTCATCACTTTAATCAACCCTCTCAATATAGAACCGTCACCGCGGTGGCCATATAAGCGCGTTCTTGTGCATACAAAAGAACGTGTATGTCACTAGTAATGTAACAACGTGTGCAAGGATATACTCGCGATCTATTCGTAAAGCATGAATGCTTCCGATCATCTATTCAACGAAGGTATTAGACCGAGAATATTTCTTCGTTGATGCGTATTCGTTCTTCCATTCCACCCATCCAACCCTTCACCCTATTACCATCTATCTTACTCCCCTATATAACTTTTTTATTTACTTTTTTGTCCTACAAATTTAAAATCCACTATATAATGCGCGCCTCTGCCTGCTGTGTCTGTCTGTCTGTCTGTCTGTCTGTCTGTGTGTGTGTGTGTGTGTGTGTGTGTGTGTGTGTGTGTGTGTGCATGCGCGTCTTTCTAACGATTAATAAAAGAATATATATTTTATAACAAAAAAAAATTCTATATTTAAATGATCTTTTAAAATTAATACTATATATGTTACATAAAAATATGTATTCTGTCTTATATATAATTTATATTTACATAAAAAAGAGAGAAAGAAAGAGAGAAAGAGAGAGAGAGAGAAAGAGAGAGAGAGAGAGAAAGAATGAGAGAAAATATTTTTTAATTAAATACTTTTAATTTTAAATATATTGTATGAGATAAAATAAAATATTTAATATACACTAATACCTTGCTTATATTAAAATATGAAGAATTTATTAACTCATTATTATTATTATTTTTTTTTTTCTAAGGGAAGTATTTATTTGGAAAATATTAGAAATTAAGAAAAGAAGAAGTTAAAAAAGATCTATACAAAATTTTGGTTATATATGGGTTGTATTCGTATGTTTTTTCTTGATAGGTTCTGAAGAAATGATAAGAAAAGGAAAGGTGGGAGGCTGCGTGAAGACTACGCACTATACTGTCTACGTATTGATTCGAGAGTATCGATCGCGTTTCGAAAATAAAGCCTAAGATGTCTATTATCTCCTCTGGCTATCCTTTTGCGAACTGCACGCTGCGTACGAGGAGGGTTGATAAAACGAGGTCACTTTCCTCTTCTTCTTTCTCTCCTTTTTCTTTTTTTTTCTTTATTGTTCTCGCTTATCGATCTTTTTTAAACTAGATATACGAGCTACATCATCCTTATAAAAGCTTGCGAGTTTACTTTAAATGCCGATTGGGAAGAGGGAGAAAAAGTAAGAGGGGTTGAGCGATGCAATGAGTATGATGCGATATGAATGAAAATATTGATTGACTAATTTCCGAAAATAAATAGTTTATTATAAAATGAAATTATCGTACCCTATTTTTTTAAAATAGCAGAAAGTATTAACATATTGCTAAAATTAGATTATTGTCTGCAATAAGTAATTATAGTTAAAATATTATCAATTCTTAAAAATTGATAATACATATCAAAATGAATAAAATACTATTCTACATAATAAACAATATTATTAGGCTGTCCAATAAGTAATTTTGGAATTTTTAGTATTTTATATTTAAATAAATAATACTATAATCATTAATTTTTGAATACAATATTAGATTTAGTTATTTAATATTATATTATATTATATTATATTATATTATATTATATTATATTATATTATATTATTGTTTAGTACGTGTGTAGGTTAAAATGTTCTAAGCCAAACATAAAAACAATTTGTTTTTTCGATTAAATTTGCTTTTATTTAAAATAACAAAAAATATTAAATTTTTGTTTTGTTGACGTTCGAAACTTCTCAACCCGCTCTCGTGCGCTATAGTATTATTTATTTATATACAAAATAATATGAATTCATTACTTATTGGTTAACCTAATATAATAATAACTTTTTTTTTTATATAATTTTATATTATAACAATTATATTATACGCATGCAAAATGTGCAAATACGAACATATTAGTGATCGATCCAACAATTTTGAAATAACATGAAAACAGAACGAAGCACTACAATGTTGCATTTTACTAGGATGTTTAGCTCGAATACCGTCAAGAAGACGACAAAGAAGAAGGGAAGCCTCGTCAAGAGCTTACGTGATGATGTCAGGAAAAACTATTTCGTATTAACCATTCCATGATCAACGTATGTATGCGAATAAATATATTTTTACCTTATATTTGAATATCATTTGCACGATTCGTATTTATATATATCTATGAACTGTGGTCGTATGTTTGTATAAACATAAATATATTAATCTATTTATTTTATTTTTGCATGTGCCTGTATGGTCTGTGTGCATGGTTTGTATGCATATACTATGAACTCTGTATGTATGCTGTATGTATGTGTTAGAGTTCACGATTCCATGTATTTATACACCTATGTATAATATTTATATATGTTTGTATTGTACGTAAGTACAGTTTATATATATATATATATGTATGTTTCTATATACTTATTTATATATGTACGCACGTATGTACAAATATAAGTATGAGTGTAAGAAAATATATGTATATAAAAACGATACGCGTCGAAGTTACGACTTAATCGTGGTTGGCCCGGCAAGAAGTTGCACATCGTAAAGAAGATTAATTGCTTCTAAGGTACCTTATTCGTTTAGATTGGCTTTAGTACGAGGTGACTTCGTAGCGAATCTAACACGTTAAATGAACATTTTGTTTATTTTATTTTAATTCTTTCAAACAATTTATCTCCATGTCATTTCGTTCATGTTCTTCGATCATTTTTACTTTACTGCCGGTAATTATAACAGTGAACATAAGTCACAAAAATTGAACCACAATTGACTTTATGATTTATTTTATATTACAATTATTTATATTATTAACGATGAACTAATTATAAGTTAAAAAATGAAAATAATTAATTTTATGATTTATTTGATAGTATTGATGATGAACAAAATGAAAAAATAAAAAAATTTTATTTTACAATCTATTAAATATTACAATAATTTATATTTCGAAATAAATCGATAAAATAAATTTATATTATTTTTTTATTATTTAATCTAATGTCATAATCAGCGGCACATATTTTTTCATTTCTTTTATTTGACCGAAAAATGTTCTTTTTAAGTTCGTGACAGCAATGTTATTCGTCACTACGAGATACTGAAATCGGTTCAATTTAGTACTCGACAGGAATACACGTTTGAAAATACCGATCACTGCTTGTGATTTTTTTTTTTTAGGATAAATTGACTTCTCTAACTCATATATATATATACATACACGTATTACATTCATGCATAGATATATGTTACACGCGCGCGCGTACGTCTTTTCTGTATCTTTTACCACCTTCGTTTTTTTTCCTTTGATCGATACGATGATCGAAATAAGACCACAGCACGTGACTCTGTACGTCGATCCTTTTCAATCTTTCTTCTTCATCTTTTCCTTACTTAACATTTTACAAGACTCTATATCGATTCGCTAAACAGTATATTTTAACGTATTTTATCATCGATCTATCTTTCTCTATTTCCCTCTCCTATTCTGGAAATCTTTAAAATTTCGATACTATTTTTTAAATATTTTATAAGCAAAAGAGTAATAACGTGTTTCTATAATATATTATGATTTTTAAAGAATGATTTAGTTGTAAAATGTCGATACACAGAAAATTGATCTATCGATTCTTATTTTTACTGTCCCGTTGTTGATTTTTTATCGTTAAAAAAAAAAAAACTCGTTACCATCGGTGTTGTCGACGGTAATGGTGTCGTTCCCTGATTGTACACGAGGAGGTATTGACGCATGTTGACGCTTATTTGTTTGCGGAAAGCAGTCAAAGGCGTCCAGTTTCACGCTCGAATGGATCAAAGACGAGAGGTACAGCAACCTCGAGGTCGATAATCCCCGCGGAAATTTCGAAATGACTAACTTTTAACAACCCCTTTCTGCTATATTTCATATATACAGCTTTCCTTCAATGTGATCGATGGATGACGGAAAGAAAAAAAAATGTCGTTAAACCTTTATTCACGGTCACTTCTTTCGTTTTTTTTTGTTCTAAAAGATGAGCTTGTTAAATTTTTAATTTATTGTGCGAATATTTTAGTTATTAATCTTGATTATAATCGATTTTTAGATCGATCGAAAAATTAATTCGAATATTGTTTCATTTTTTAATTTAATTTTGAGACTCCAGATATTTTATTTTTTTATTGAGATTTTTTTAATTTGTTTATTTTGGATTTGTTTATTTATTTAAGTACGTTTAATGCGGTTTATACTTTCGTCAATCGATCTCGAAATTTTCTTTTCGATGACATCACCGATCACAACTAATTCGAATCGACGTAAAAGGACGATTAACTTTGCGTTCTTCGCAGATTCGTGTTTAATTTCGAAAAATAAATTACAACAGAGATCAATAACCACAACGAACGTGAAACGGTTTACGGAGAATTCCTTTGATTTCAATTTTTAGCCACTTTTTCATATTATATCCGATCTCTTTGATTTATCAATTTCCAACCTTAAGGTCAACGGCGACCAATGATCTGCAATATAGATCATTTATCGATCAAATACCTTTCGAAATAATTACACTTGCACAATCCATTTTGTTTTTTAACTGTAATTTTTCTCTAAACTCTTTATCTAATCACATTATATATGTAACAAAATAAAGTACAAATAAACAACATACCGATCGAGATTTTAAACAGAAAACAAGGGTAAAAATAAAAAGTTAAAAGAAAAATAGCAGAAAATAAAAGAAACAAATAAATATAAACAAAAAAGAAAAGAAAGATAAATAGAGAAAAAGTTTTCACTTCAAAAATGAACCGATAATAGAAGCTTTGACGTAGATCGACGTAATAGAAATTGATGCGCCTTTCGGGTGGGTCAAAGAGAGAAAGAGAAAGAGAAAAAGAAATGGTATATGTATATGGTTCGTAGTCGCGTGGGCGTTTCGTACCGTCGAAGCGACGCAACGGCCATCCGTGGAATTGAACGCTTAACGTCAGACTGAAGGCTTCCTCTAGCTCCTCTTCATGCACACCTTTACGAAATGAGGAACCCGGAGAGAAAGAGTGGAGGTAAGCAGTGAGAAGAATCGTTTTCGAGTCTGCGTACTTCTCACGTGTACTTTAAAATACGCTCCGATTATACAGCAGACAGAGACAGAAAAAAAGAATTAAAAAAGAGAGGAAAAATAGAGAGAGAGAAAGAACAAAAGAAGAGAAAATTATGACAGGGAGAAAGAAGAAGAAAAGAGAGAATAAAAACTGAGAAAGAAAAAGAGAGAGTAAGAGAGAGAAAGAAAGATAGTGAGAGTAAAAGAGAAAATGATGAAAGAGTGGGGAGGAGGAAGAGATGGAAACGGAATTTTGCCAAAAACTGAAAGGATCGTTTCATGAGTAACGTTAATAAGTGGTAAGAAGGGGTAGGATGAAATTTATAAAGACAAGGAAGATGGCATATGACGATGATGCATCGAAGATGTTAGAAACAAGCTACTCGACGGTCGTTACACGTTAAAACCATGTAGTTTTTTTTTCATATATGACAATAACGATGTTGTTCAAAGATTAACTTGTTATTGTTGCAAATGATTCTAAACAGGTATTTTATAATTAAAATCCATAGCTGTAATTTGTGGTATTTTTACTCATGTACGTTTGTATAGATTTTGAACGTGTTTTTGAATTACACGTAGAATTATTTACATATTAAGTAACCCTTCATCAATAATTGAAGTCTTCGAATTGATAAAATAAACGAATCTGAAATATCTTTCATGGAAATTGTAATTGATTCGCGTTACATCGAAATTCTTCGTTAGTTCAGTCATATACAAGAGAGAAAGAAAGATAAAGAGAGAAAAAACAAGAAAAAAGAGAGGGAGAAAATAATTTTTCTTTCATGTTTGATGGCTTACTCGTTTTTTAATTGAATTCGTATTTTAATGGAATTAAATAAAGTGAATTTTTTTTCTTTCTTTATTCCTTTCCAATTATTTTTCATTTATCATAAAAAAATTTATTTTTTATTTCAATATATATATCATAATACTTTTTAAATAATCAAATTTCATCAATGATTTATTTTGTCATTTTTTTTCATATAGTTGATTCTTTATATAATAAAAAAATCGCACACAAAATTAGCATCTTTCCCTTTTTTTACTCTCTTCCTGAGGGTTTCAAGGTTTATTCAAAATAGTGCCGATAGTCGTAGTAGGTTCACTCTGGCAATTGTACAATTTCGTAATAAACTAACAGCGGTGACAGTTTGACAGAATGGTCGATGTACTTTGAGAAATAGTTTGTCAGTTTCACGTCAGCTTGCTAACGCTTTTCTTTTTCTTCTTCATCAAAATTATCATAAAGTTTTTTTTCTTTAACCCTTTCGCTACGGTGGGCCTCGCCGCGGAGTACCTCGTCTAGAACGGAGCGACGTACCGAAAGTAAGAACATTAAGCGCGCGCAGTCTTTAGCATTCGGAGCCTTTTGTCTCAAAAACGACTTTGTGACATTACTTTTAGAAACAAAATGATTTGTGTTCATAATTTTTCCATGGATATATTTTTAATTCAACAATACAATTAATAATACACGAAGCGATACCATTTATCTTAACATTTGGTTCCATTTTTGGAGCGGGTGACTATAGTCACCCGTCGTGTATAGGTGGCATCGTGTGACGGGTGAYTATAGTCACCCGTCGTGTGCGGGTGTCGTTTTGTGGCGGGTGACTATAGTCACCCGTAGTAGTGAAAGGGTTAAAAACGACTTTGTGAGTAATCCTATCATTGAATTCGTGGAAAACGAAAAACTAATCGTGGTGTTTTCTCTCATTCATAGAATTAGGATTCAAATGAGAATTCCTTCTGAACTACCTAATCAAATTAGGAATGGAATCTAATAATACAAGCGTTACGTGCAAGTTCATTCGATCAACTTGCTCGCTCGCTCATAGTTTCTTTTCTTTCTAATTTTATGCCTGACTTTTTGGTTGTAAAGTAAATTAGAAAAGAAACAAAAGATAACCAAATAAAGCAGTAACTTACTTTGTTTTGGAGAGATTAGGATCGCTTGTCTTCCGTTTTTCTCGTAATTGTCGCTATAACAAAATAGATACAAGGAATTTATAAATAATTTAAATTTTGTATTACTATGAAAAATAGATCCATAAATTTGTGGGTTTAAGAAGAAAGGAAGCATGTGTTTTAATTTTTCTATTATTTAGATATTATTGTTTAAAGTTTTGCATTCCAATATTTCTTATTAGCAATACATCCTTTTTTCTATTTACAATACAGATGTGAATGTATTTGTTTTTAATAAATATTAGATTAATCAATAAGTAATGTCAAAATGTTCAATATACTGCAGTTGTTTATTTAAATATAAAATACTAAAAACTTTTAATATCAGGTATAAATCTACCAAATCAATATTTGTCTCTCACCTTATGATGTATCCGTTCCTTGTAACTCTCAGACCTATTTATATTTGACGTCTTTGGCTTACTGGAAAACTTATGATGCATCCTAAATAATACAAAATAAACAAAATATAAATTAACAATTAATTAATAATATTAATATCAAACATAAAGGCGCATTTTCTTCTGAATGGTTGATTTAATGGTGACGTTGAAAAAATTAGATAAAAAGAAGAATAAAATTTGAAAAAAAAAAAAAAAAAGAAGAAGAAGAATGTGGTTCTCTAGGAATGAAGATGAAACGAGAATATGAACGATTGTGTTCAGAAAAGAATGAAAAGAGATTTACAGAGAAACATATGTTTAAAAAAAAATCAACGTTTGATACATTTAAAGATATCTAATCCGGAAAAAAACATCGATCGTTTTTTCGTAGAAATCTTGTTCATAAAAGTGCCGACAGGGAATTCCTGTTTCTCTGCTAATTTCTTTTCTTCTTTTAGTAAAGATAATTATGAAAACATACATTTCGGACATTTCTTCTCTAGAGGAAGGATCGTCTATGTTATCGGCCGTGTTTCCGGTTGTACCACCGCCTCCGCGATGTTCTCCTAAAAGCATGGATGAGATAATTAATTATTTAACAGTTATCGATAAAAAAGAAAGCTTGCAATAAACCTTTGATATTAAAAATAATTATGCAGAGGGAGAGAGGGAGAGAGAGAGAGAGAGAGAGAGAGAGAGAGAGAGAGAAAGAGAGAGAGAGAAAGTTATTCGTATTGCTACACTCCTCATACAAATTCTTATCTAAAAGTTCTTATAGTAAAAATAAATATTAGGTTGACCTAGAAAATTCATGCTGTTTTAAAAAATAATTATTCAAAAGCAATACTTACTTTATATATATATATATATATACATGAAATATGACAAAAAATATTCTTTTGTTAAATAAAAATTAAATATTTAAAAAAAAAGTGATAAAAATTTTTCTAGCAACCTGATACCAAAAATGTTAGTCATATATTTATAATATAAATTATTAAACATCTTAAAATTGTTCCTATTGACCGATACATATGAATATTAACTTATGCTACGTAATAATCCTAAAATACTTTAATCGACTAAACTCTACCTTACACAATATCAAAATTAAATGAATAGATCAATTTAATGAATGTTTATTAAAAAAATATTCGCATGGCCTATAGGTGAAATGTAACATAATCAGAATCAATATAAATACATTCATACTAAATATACGTATACGAGAAGCAAGTTAACGTGTCTCTTTCTCCCTTTCTTACTCTGTATATGAAATTTTAAAAGGTATGGAAGGAAATAAATCTCGCCTTTTAGACGCACGCGTCGTTCTAATTTTATCAACCTCTAAGAAAAGGTAAAGCTCGCTGGATTGGAATTTCTCTGATTTCGCGGGACGATGATTCTGATCGATTTGTTCGACGTCAAGTTAGTCTTAAGCATCTAACAGAGTTCTAACAATAAGTATGCATTTCGAAAAGCACGAGTTAGTTATATACGTAAGAATTTTTAGTCAATCATTGCCAAAATAAAATCGATCTACGGAGATCTATCGATTTTTTGGTTCTACTAATTGAATACATAGGAGTTTACGTGTATGTATATATATATATATATATATCTAGATATATACATGTACTTCTTTCTCTCTTTCTCTCTTTATTTATTTCAATGTGTTTCTCTTTTGGGCGTCGCGAGAAAGAGAGCCTGGCGTTTCTCCAAATATCCAATCTCATATGGAAGAAGCTTATCAGCAAAGTCGAGCGAACAGCTTGCCCGTCCGTAAAGGCACAGCGTGGGTTATACGATCGTCTAAGTATAGGAGCACCGCCTTATAGCAGATTAACGCGTCAAAGCAAAACGAGTCTCTCTTGGGTAAGCTATCGAATCAGACGAGAAGAGAAAGTTAGAGAGAGATCAAAAATAATAGAGAAAAAGAAATAGACAAGAAAAATAGTATAGAAAGAAAAGAGAGAGAGAGAGAGAGAGAGAGAGAGAGAAATAAATAAACAGAAAAAACAGAAATTAGAGAAAGTGAAACAAAAAAAAATTTAAAAAATGGAGGGGTCAAAAGGGTTAGAAAGAAAAATAGAGATATAAAAAAATTAACTTGGTGGAAAATCGAAAGAGCTTGCAAATGCAAACAGTAAGGAAAAAGAAAATTTGATGGGGGTGGTTTTTATTTCCCTGTAAAAAAAGGGGAAGAAGAAAAAAAAACTGAAAAAGAAAAAAATAGTTTCCGGTCTACACGACACATATGCCTACATCTATAAGTTTAAAAATAGAGATGTCGAAGAGCATTTGAATTCGATTTAAAAAAATTTTTCCTCTGGATACGTTTATCCTTTGTTAACACTACCACCCCTGTCGATTTTACGCATGTCTCTTCTCCTCTCAACGAGAGGGGTGTGAGAATCCCTTCTTCTATGATTTGATCCCTACTATCTTTCTACTCTGTATTTCTTTTTTGGTTTATCTTTCTGTTTTTTATTTTATTTTTTCTTAAGTTATATTGTTGTAGCATTCATATCATAAAGAAAGAATGTTTGTATAATTTTATAAGTATTAGGGGGTTTATATATGCATGCATATAAATATATAAATACACATATACTAGTTATTTATTTACGAAAATGCTGCTCTAATAAATTTTAAGAAGTTTACGCATAACTTTCAAGCGTTTTTTTATCAAAGTAAAAAGTTTATTCATTTCTCTAAAGTAATTATATTTGTATCTTATCTTCTTTTTTTTTATAATATATAGAAAATTTAGCTTCTTTATTTTTCGTCAGGTTTATTTCCAGTATTATGGAACGAGCATGAACCACTAACCTGAGGATAATAGACTCTCGTTTTATTTACAAGTACATATATATTAAATTTCAAAAGTTGCTATGAAAATTTTATATTGTCAATTTGCCATAAGTTTTATACGAGAATATGATAGAAATTATTATCTATAGCGGTTACGTTATAATTTTTTTTTTTAAGTAATTACAAAAATATACAATTTGATAAGTAAATTTTAATACAACGAAATAATAATTATAATAGTATTAATAATAATAATAATAATAATAATAATAATAATAATAATAATAATAATAATAATAATAATAATAATAATAATAATAACAATAATANTAATAATAATAATAATAATAATAATAATAATAATAATAATAATAATAATAATAATAACAATAATAATAATAATAACAAGAATAATGAGAGCATTAATCAACTCAGAACATCGGCCGCTACAATGCACTATTTAAATTTGTTTAAATTTAACAATGAATGAGCTCAGGTCTACAACGAGAAGAAGTAAATAATAATAGCAATAATAATTATTATATTAATATAATATAATCTAAAAATATTATTAAGTATTTTTTTCATAAATGAATATAGTCTTTTATTTATAGATGATTCGAGGTTTTCATTATCTAGATATAATGAGCGAACATTTCAGTAATTAATTTAATTCTACAAATAGAGAGTTTATTTTATTATTTTCCAATCATGTCTTTTTAAAAATATTTAATATTGTTGACGATGTGCTACAATTGATAAATCGATCACGTAGTCATAATCAGTCCTATTACTTTTTCAATCAAACTTTTATTACTTCTTTTTATTATTTCATAAATTCTTTATCAGCATCATTTAATTGTTATTCAAAGATGCACAATACTAATTAATTATCTGCAACTATTCTCATTAATACTATTAGCAACATATTATTTTTTAGTATAAACGAAAGAATTAAAATGTAAAAGAAAAAGACATAAGACAAAAAACGTATGTGAATTTAGAAAGCTGTAGACTGGGTTACTGCAAGTAATTTTGGATAGTAAAATGTTTAAAATAATTTATTGCTCGTCTAATCTTTCTTTTTTAAAGAAAAACTCTTTAATTAATTTTTTTAAATTTTTGTGTATGAATTTTTCTAATAATAGCCGATACTGATATATAATCCTAAACGTTTTTTTCCTATTGCAGAAATCAATTAAATAAGCAGACGTAAAGTATTATAAGTAAAAAAAAAACAAAATTCAACTCTATTTTTAGACTTGAGAGCTGCAATATTCATTCATATTTAAATCTAATTATTTTAACTCATTCATACTTCACGTATTCAATTTAAACTCTTTAGTTAAAAGTTTTTTTTTTTATAATTCTATATATACTTTTCATGATCATTTTTTTCTGCTTAAGTATTTGTATATTGTATACACTGAAATAATTCATTAAAATCATATATACAAGCGTTTAAAATAAGATTAGTTTTCCGTTATTAATCATAACACAATAAATTAAGTAATAAAATAACAAATGAAGAACTCCCAAGTATTGAATATTTCAAGATATCAATAAATTCTCTCGTTTTTTTTTTTTATTTAATTTTGAAAATTTTTACCTGAATGATACAAATACTGTATGAGAATAAAACAAAATTTTATTTATTTTGTAAAAAAAAGGGTTACTCATAATTTTTTCTTTTCTTTTTATGTTTGAAGTCAACGCCGCGCGTAAATTTTTTAATATTGAAATAATAAGAATTAATCAGTGCAAAGAAAAATAAAACAAAATACAATAATTAATTAATAACTTATGTTCTGAAGGGTGAACTCGCTCTCACTTTTTCTCTCTTATGGATGGATGGATATATGTATATATATATGTATATGGATATATGAATGTATGTATGTATTTATGTACATAGGCGTTAATTTACAAGTCATGATATATACATATATATATTATACGTATAATACGGTATAATATTTCCCGTATTTGATCACGATTGCTACGCGGTTGTGAATTATATATAGTTTTGTATACCCGTTTGCTGTTCTTTTCCGTTTATCTTTCATTTCTTCCATATGAGCGTAGATATTCGAAGAAGAACCAGGATAAATAAATAATAAGGTTTTTAGTCGAAGCAATTAAGGGTTGCGTTAAGCGCAAAAATAAATTCGCGACATACGCGAAAAGCGCTCGCTACCCAGGATCGCTAGTTAGTTCCTCTCATTCTTTTTTCTTTTTTATCGTGTATAAAAATGTAAGGATATTATTAAAGCAAAACAAAAGAATCATTAATACTGCTATCCCCACCTATACAATCTCCCATACACAATAGATTTTGTTGCTCGTCACTTTGTTTAGAAGCATCCAACTCTTCTTTTTCTTCATCTTTTTGCTCATGAACATGTTCACATATGCTTTCCGTATCGTTTTCAAGTTCTCTGTCCGATTCTGGCAAATTTTGCAGATGTACCTCCGTTTCTGGCTCCAACTCGTGTTCATGCACTGGTTCAATGTCATGCTTATTTACTTGTTCATGTTCACATTCGTGTTCCTCTTCATTTTCGTGATTCTGCTGTTCCAGTTCTGATTCATATTCGTATTCTATTATAGGCTCGTGCTCATGTTCTGGTTCATGTTCTTGTTCTGTCTTAGGATATGTTTTTTCTTCTACTACATGACTAGCTATGACAGAAGGTGTATCTTCTGCGACAGTTGACGAAACCGTCTCTTCTGGCAGTGTTGTAGGAGGAGTTGGTCTTCTGTCTTGTTTATCACGAGCTTTATAGGCCTCAGCAGCTTCCGAAATATGTTTGCACCACAACTTTCGTTCTGCCGGAGAAGCAGCTACCAAATCATAAATTTGTGCTCCATTTTGTGAGGTATTGACCAAATACAAAGAATTTTTGTCAACAGCATTGTGCCTGACCAGTACAGTAGATACTTTTACGATTGGGCTCAGTACAGAACTTGCTTGGCTAGTGTTGATAAATTTTAGAAGATATTTTTCATCTTGACGATGTAGTAGAAATATCGTGTCGTCGAATAAAACGACGTGCAAATCGACCGGTTTTGCTCTATTCTGTTCCGTTCTACGCCATTGCAATGGACCCTCGTAAATAAGTTTGCGTTTGGTTATATCGAGATTCTTGAATTCTTGAACTGTTGGATGATCAAATTTATCGAAAGCGGATCTGTCGATGGTTCGTTGAATTTCTACGAGACGTTGGTAGTCTTCTGCTTCCTTTACAGCCTGATTGACACGACTTAAGATTTCTTTGCTTCGTTCGAGACTACGAAACACCGCTGCCTTTTCCTTCTCATTCGTGTCCGGTGTATATTTCGCGAGATTTTCAAAGAGCAAAGGATATTTAGTTAATCTTAACATACCAGTCAATATGTGATCCTTCAATTGTAATCTCCTACAAAGAGGATTTGATTCGATCTCGTTCAAAAATGAGTTTAATTTGAGATCTTTGCGACGACGATCTCTTAACGCATCCAAAGCTACTTGTTGTTTCGCGCAATACGTCGAGGCAGCACGTTCGAACGTCTCACCGTCTTCTCCATCGAACATCTCCAATAAAAGATCACCTATGTCACCCACACAAGGATTTTCCTTCTTCTTCCTCTTCATCGCTTGATTAAAACGCGAATGTATTGCTACCATTTCGTCCAAATTTGAGAAAAGTAATTGGATCTGATCCAAAGGTAGTACTTGCGATTCTAGTAATGGTCTATGGAAGACATGGGACAGAACCTTCAGAGCACGTACGTGAGATCGTTCCGTATGAAACAGTTCTGTCGTTAACAAAAAAAATCAAATCGTTGATGAACAATTATGTTTTCTATTACTGTTTTTGTTTTGTTTCGAATATAAATTTGAGATTAATCTTCGATCAAGGAATCAATCTACGTACCATTGATAACTTCTTGCCTTTTTTTTTCCGAATTACCAAGACGCGCGAGTACTTCTTCTGTAACCCCTTGACTCCAATCCGAAGGATCTGGCTCGACATCGACGTCGCTATCCCACGAAGTCGATGCATTTGCCGAGGAAGTTGCTGGATGTACTTGTTCTAGGCTCGTACTTGGACTGTCCAAACTTCTAGTCGATAAACTGCTGTTAGATGAACTACCAGCCGAATTTCCAGGAAATGTTCCAGAAGGGTCGCAGTCACTAAAACGTGTCCTGTTGTTAATTGTACAGGCAACGTATAGACAATTAATTAATTAAATGTTTGTTAAGATATTTTTGTTTTGTAAAAACATTTGTTTTGAAAGTTAACTGTTAACTATCTCGTTAATTAGATATTCTGAATATAATTAGCAGTTTACTTAACACATTAAGCGCCGGCGACATATAAAAAATTTAACGCTTGAACGCCGGCTACGTTTCAGCTACAGAAAATATTTGATTGTTTTCAAATCATCATATAGGTTTTGTTCTTTTAGTTAAAAATGTAACTAACGTGTATTCAATGCTCATGCAAGAAAACAATTCCCGCAACATTTCGGGATCGACATTTAAACGATCGGACTCAGAATCCCGCGTTAAGCGGAACGGCGCTTAATGTGTTAATTAAAGAATATACTTTACATAAAAAAATAAACGACTTACTTTGTTTTCGAGAGATTCGGATCACTGGTCTTTCGCTTTTCTCGTAACTGTCGCTGCAATGAATAAAAACAATTAGTGTATTGTAAGATTTTTTATGTAATTAACAATCCTTTAGAATTTGATTTCTTTGTTCACTTACCTTATGATGGATCCGTTCCTTGTAACTTTCAGACCTATTTATGTTCGATGTCTTTGGCTTACTGGAAATATTTTGCTGCACCCTAAATAATCGTAATCGATAAAGCAAAAATTCAGGACTTAAAATAAATTATTATACTGATGAATTAAAAGAAAATATTAATGTGAATTCAATTTGAAAATTTTATTATAATTTAGAGAATAATTAGAATAAATGAGAATTCATTTAGAAAAAACAGTATGTTTAAACGAAAATTGTTTTCTTTGAGCTTCAAAAAAGATAGAAAAATAAATTATAGTACTTTGTAAGTTTCTTTTCATTTAGTATGATAAATAATGATAACGTACATTTCGGACATTTCTTCTCTAGAGGAAGGATCGTCCATGCTATCGGTGTTTCCGGTTGTACCGCCTCCGCGATATTCTCCTAAAAGCAAGAAATAAGAGAATTCATTATTTAACATGCATCTAACACGACTTCCAATAAATATGCATAATTTGTGCATTCAAGTTTACAATGCATATAAAGAACATCGATTAGTCCAAGAAATATTTTTACTATGTTTATTTATTTAATGTTTATTTTTCCGAATTTTGCTTAAACCAAATTAATAAACAAAACGATTAACCAATTTATAAGAAAATAATAATACATACCTTTTTTTATAGCATTTTGTATGATCAATTTTCATAACACTATAAATTATTAATAATTCACGTAACCACTTTTTTCTTTTGGTTTCAATAAAGAAAATATTGAACAAATAACAAGGAAAATATAATTGAATTAACGATAATTCATTGTTACTAGCATATAAAATAAATACGAATAAAAATTTTTGTTTTAAAAAGCAATGAAAATAAATGAAATTTATGAATGATAATAAAGTGGTATTGATTTTTGGTGAAAGTGATCAAACTAAACTGATAAATATTGAGAAAATGAATAATCTAAAATAGCTCACCCTTCAGATATATATAGTTTGCTTTTTATTAAATTAAAATCATATATCAATTTATATCACAATGTTATTATTTTTTAAGAAATAAATTTGTCAGATAAATGTCAACAGAATTAATAGATATTTTCAATTTGTCATTCAATTTGTGAACGTGTGAATTAAATTTGGCAAATCAATTATTAATGTAATTAAAAAAGTAGTCAATAATTTGTCATTGAAATTTTTGACGTACATATAATTAAAATTTGAATGATTCACAATGTAACTGAATACATTTTTCTAAATTTACAGATCAATTATCAATTTAATTAAGAAATATTTGTAAGCTACTCATTTTAATTTCTAACGCATTAACGAAATTTGATACAGAACAGTTGGCAATTTAGAAGAACAAATAATGAACAAATTAATATAGTAAACTTGTCATTTAAATTTCTGACGCACGAACTTATCACATATCGATTACTATACAGCCTTTCATAAGGCATAGAATACACGAACGTGTCTTGCTAAGTATAGGAGTCCAGTCTTAAGGCTTGAGCAAACCTTGAAGCAAAACGAGTCCCGCGGTTATGCCATCGAACTAGACAGAAAGAGATAGAAAGAGACCAAGACAGACAAGAAGAGAAAGAGAGAAATAGTGACAAGGAAAATAAGAGGGTAAGATCGGAGTTTGCGAATGCAGACAATCATGAAAAAAGAAAATGAAGAGAAAAAAGAAAGGAAATTTGAAGATGGGGTCTCTCTGTCTCTCTCTCTCTTTCTCTTTCTGTCTCCCCCTGCAAAAACAGTTTCCGGCTGGTCTAAACACGTGCCTACATTTCTCTAAATCCTAAAATAGATCGAGAAAAGCTCGGAAGCTTTTCCTTGAACAATATTCACCTTTAACACGAAATGCCTAACCCTCAGATTTGATTCTTTCTCTCCCTTTCTCTTATATTTGTTCATCTTCAATTTTGTTTTTTGCAATTTTTCTTTTGTTTTTTTTTCTTTTTATACCTAGGAAGGTATTTGTATGTTTTTTTTAACAATAAGTTTTTTGTGCTTTCTATTATGTTTGGTTTTACTTATTTTCTACAAACTAATTTAGGTTATTATTAAGAAGTTTGTTGATAAAAATAAAAAGGAAGGAACAAAATGGTCAACCTTGAATAATATATTGTTTGAAGTGCCGATAGAGACTTGAAGAATTTATTACTTCAATATCTACGATGAGGAAAGTACTTAAAAAAAAAAAAAAAAGATTACGACGTTAACACGAATTGGTTATTAAAACATTTTTATGTAGACAATCTTAAAATCATAAAATTATCCTTTTTTTTTATTTTCCTCTTTTTTATGACGAAATAAAAAAAATATTTAGTTGTTTTTTCTCTTTCTAATGATAAATTAAAAAATTCTTGTAATATATGTGCTTATATGTATATATGTGTGCGTGTGAATTAATATTCGATAGATTTGTACATAACGTAGCCAATATAAAATTTACGACTCTTTCCTCGAATTAAAATTAAAATAAATAATTTACTTATTTCTTATGATGGAATCAAAAATACATTAGTATAAATGTATGTGGGTTAATAATATTTCATGTGTTCGTAAAAAAAAAACAAAAATAAAATAAATTATTTATTTTTCTCTAATAATAAATTTAAGAACAAGTTAACGTACATATACACATAACTTACACGCATATACGTGTTAATAATATTTCCACGGGATAGCATAAATGCCCGAGGCGATTTTTGATGAAATCTGATTTTGTGTGTGTATGCGTGTGTCGCGATAGCTCCAAGTAAAAATCCTACAATTAAATTACAGTCTCTAGTAATTTACACTCGAATTACATCTACGTATAGTTCTAGTTCGGTGTCTAAATTTGATCGAAGAATTTTCCTTTAGGATATTTGAAAAAAATCAAGGATGGATAAATGAATAAATGAACAGATGATTCTATCCAAATTGTGTGTGTGCCCGCGCATGCGTATAGTAATATCTCGTCAATATCGCTCGAATTATCCGAACTACGTCGAAAACTTGAAGCTTTTACGTTGCAGACTGTCGTAATTTGATGTGAATACGTTAGTGAGAGAAATGTATGAATGTATGTATCTGGTGGAAAGTAACAGAAATACGTGGGAACTCAGTCTATTTCTCCGATCTATTATAAACCACGTATGCATGTACCATAAACCGTGCAAGTATGAATATATACAACACACATGATATCTTCATTTACGCTGTAAATATGTGCATGTGTATGTGCGCGCGCATAGACACACACCATGTGGTTAGAATGAATTTATGCAATAGCAAGCAATTTTTCATTACCTTCATTCATTAACATTGATAACGCACAGGTACACGTCTCTTTGAATTGAACCTTGTATTGAAATGCATTTCGAATATGAACAAAATAAAAAGATGAAAAAACAATTCGTTTGCATTGAACCATTAAGAAAACTCATGTAAAATTAAATAGAATTTGTAAAGAGTAAAAAGGTGGAGAGTTTTGAACAAAGAAAGCTTATCGATATCAGATACAATATAAAGATCTTTTTTTTTTTCTTTTTCTTTTTTATATATTTTTTTTCTATATATTTGAGAATGTTTGGTGTCTGCTAAAGTTACTTGAAATCGTTCGGTGTACAATGTACAAGAAGAGACATGATTCAATGCTAGGTCTTACTGATAAACACATATGCTTAATGACCTCGAATACGAAACAATTATTGTCCAGTCGTTGGCGATTATCGTATGATGCGTAGTTGAAAATAAAAAAAAAAATAAAAAAAAACCGAAATGATCGAATAATCGAAAAATAGCGATATTCATTTTAGCATTTAAAATAAACTTAAGCAGAATAATTTGGTAAATTCGTTGGACGTGTTGGAATTATTATATAAAATAGGAGCAAACATGATTCCTTAGAGTATTGGACTGAGTTCATTTATATCCCATAGTGAACCTTTTCTATATTTTTTCAATCCACACAAAAAATAGCTAGTATAAATATCACTCAGTGTATTTTCACGTCATACGAAATATAGAATAAAAAAAAAATATATCTTCTCTCTCTTTTGTTCAAATTATTGATTTTATTCAATAATCTCAACAGGACAAATAAATATATCCACAAATATGTTTAAAGTATTTAATTTAAAAAAAAAAGAAAAAAAAAGTTACTCTCTATTTGCTTATGTGATTAAAATTGCGTGGATCATCGATTCGTATTCCAACGATAAACTTTCATGCACATTCGAAATAAATATTGACTCGGTCAACGAGTAATTTTATTGGAATTTTTTTTTATACACATAGGTGAACTAAAATATTCTAGACGATTATAAAAATAAATTATTTTCTTTTTCGAGATTGTTTAGACTTGAAACAAGTTCCTAGAATCGTACAGTTTATTAAAAGTTTATAAATTAATTTATATTTAAATCTAGAAATTTGTAATTTTTTTTTACAATCAATTAAGTAATTTTCCTTTCTCAGCCTATAATAAAAATTTTAATGGCAGACCTATACTATAAATAAATAAATAAATTAATCGAATAGTTGTGAACTGTGTCGAAGCTATCACTAAATAACGATTCCATATTATCTCATCTTTTGTTCACCACACGATTCATAGTAACAGGATCCGAACGGGTTTTAATTTACGTCAGCCTATCAAATTAAACAGTATTTCACGTAATTACGACACCACGTTTCCGGTGATACATACTTAGTTAATTTTACGAGACAATATTTTTTAATTATTATTAATATTATTATTAACCCTTTGCACTCCGACTCTTGCTAACAAACACTATTAGCTTTTAATCATTTTAATAAAAATAAATAAGTTATGGTAATGCCCTTAGGTCGAAAATTTTGTGTACACGTGCATGTGGCATGTGTTCCTATAAAAGTGCTTAATTAAAATAAATAATTATTGTTAATTTACTAAAAACGATTACTATAAGAAAAAATTTACAGAGTATAAAAGATTAATATTTATAAATTTTGTTCATCCCTAAAATGTGTGAAATGTAAATTGTTATCTTTTAAAAACCTAATGGATTTTGTTCACATGTTTAATCCTTCACCAACCTTGATTATAGTTTATCTCCTGTGTAGTTCTCCTACTATCCAATTTTTTATCAATATCTTTGCATTTCGCATAAATTTCCTTATTGTTGTCATTGTTGGCAAGAACATCAACGAAATTGTTATGATCATTTCGATGATGATTATTATGATGTTGATCCTTCACAGTATCATTCTTCTTTTCAAACTTGCACAGCTTTGATTTATTGCAAGCAGCAGGCACATTCAAACGATCCAGATGCACGATTAAAGCTGTCTCTAAGACCCCATTTGGTTCACGAATTTTTCTAACAGCTGCCAAAGTCTCCCAAACTTTACCAGCGATCGAATATTTGCTGCTGTTGCTACTATTGTTTTTTGTACTCTT